TTTTCCACCCCTTTAGGCATAAAGGGCTAGACCTATATTTTATAGAGCAACTGGCGGGTGATGAGGTCAGCACCACGCCGGCTGCCTTTACTTCCCAGGACTGTACCTTGTACCCACTCAAGGCGGGGCTGACCTGGCAGCCAACTTCATTTTTGAACAAAAGTTTGGCTCAGTCGGAATCCGAACCCATGACTTTCCAACCACAGGCAAGCATCTAGCCATGACTCCTGATGGTACCACAAGCAGTCTGATAAAAAAAGATAGCAACACGCAACAAAACATATCAAATTTATCTGTTTATTGTGAAATGGAACAATATCCCCCAGCTCTAAACGGATATGTTGAGACAAAAGCTAAAACATAGTTTGTGGGGAAATATGTGCAGTTTTTTTCATAGCTTTGATCATCATCATCTGTAGCTGAAATGACAGCTGTAACCAACCCCATCTTTCTCAACAGAATGCCCAATGTGCAGTAAAATCAACTAGGATAATTTGTTTAAAAAAAAAAAAGAAAGATTTTGTGAGCCAAGCTTACATTTAATCTCAGTTTCATGAAGAAGGAAAAAAACTTGATGCTACATCAGTTTTTTTCTTCTAAAAATCCAGAGGACTAGAGTTGTTAACCCTTAGGCTCGATACTATGGATATCGCAAACCTTGGGCCTTGATTCCATGATAGATACTATAAATCTGGGAGATAAGGAGGTCGTCACCTGGTCGCAGTTAGTACCAGAGGGCCAGGTCCTTTTCTAGACCATGCTGATCAGCTTATGAGTTTGGAAAAAAAAATTCAGACAGCTCTTAGGATTGTTACTGGAACTATGACATTTGCGCTTTGTGTGACACTCCTGTCCAGATGGCCAGCTGCTCTGAAAATGATTCTGAACCATACAGGATTAAATCCAGTATAATCGTCCATTCTTTCGACTTTATACCTTTAGAGGAAACAGTGAGAGGCAAGCATTGGAAAGCAATAAATCAGTTGAGTCAAGAATTGACATCACAGCACTCGGAGCATTCCCATATGTGCTCCGTCATCTTCAGCAGCCAGCACAGAGTTCCAATACTGATGGTACCGGTCACAATCTGGTTATATATCGGTCTTGCCTTTCCTCTGAATGTAGTAAGCCGGCCAGACCCTCTGGTTACACCCAGGTGCCTCATTCTCTCCAGGCCATAAAAATCTTGTTTTTTCTTCTGATGCCATTGCTTGTTCCCAAAGGGCCTTGACCACATCTGCCTTGTCTTGTATAAATTCACCACCTCATGGTGCAGATCCGGACAGTCTGTCTGTTCATTACCCACCACGCCGTCATGGCCTGGAGAAAAGGTCTAAAGTATGCTAACTACGCATGACCTTCCCAGTGAAGCTTGCCACTCTGCTCGAAACATCCCTGTCTTCACCTTTCTCAGCATGAATCAGTGAAACAGCAGAAGAACACAAATGTCCACATATTGCATAATGTCCAGGTATCTTCCTTAATATAAACTTTAAAAAGCACAAGACCCAAAAGGACAACTGGTGATATTACTAAATATTGTCAACCAATTCTAGAACTAGTATAAAAAATTACAATACATCTTTCCCAGTAAAGACGGGTGTAAGACAGGGATGTGTTATGTCATCTCTCCTCTTCAACCTTGTGATTGATTGGATACTAAAGAACACAGTAGACAAGACATTAGGAGGCATACGATGGACTCCATTCACCATGCTTGAGGACCTTGATTTTGCAGATGATATAGCACTCCTATCACATAAACATGAACATATACAAGAGAAAAGTAAAAGACTAAACTGCACAGCAGAAATGGTGGGACTGAGAATAAATACAAAGAAAACTAAGATCATGACAAACAGTCCAAACCAACAATCAGTGACCATAAAAAACCAATCACTTGAAAATGTAGAACATTTCACATATCTTGGCAGTGTGGTGTCCCTACTAGGAGGGACAGAGGAAGACATACTGTCACGTCTGAACAAAGCTAGAGCTGCTTTTGGAAGGATGAGGAAAATCTGGAAATTCAACAATTACTGCAGAGGAACGAAACTCCGACTCTACAAGAGCATCATTTTGCCAGTTCTTCTTTATGGAGCGGAATGCTGGAGAATGACCAAAAAGGATGCACACAAGCTGTCCACCTTCCACCACACATGTCTACGTAGAATTATCAAAATTTTCTGGCCAGATACAATCTCAAACACTAAACTACTTCAAGCCACAAACCAAGAAACTTTAGACAGTATGATTACCAAGAGAAGATGGAAATGGCTTGACCACGTAATAAGAATGACTTCTGATATACCTGCCAAAACAGCTCTTACATGGACACCAGAGGGAAAGAGAAAACAGGGGTGCCCAAAAACAACATGTTGACGAACGATGGAAAGTGACCTGAGTGCCGCATCTTTGACATGGAAAAACTGCATTGAAGATTGCACAGGACAGGAAAGCATGGAAAGTCCTCTCTGAAGCCTCATGTGCCACTAGGCATAACGAGAATTGATGATGAATTCTATAGAACTGAATGTTCCTCTCTATTAGTTGTAAAGATGAATGAGACGACAACTCACTTTTTAAAAAGGTAATCTGAAAAACAAAACAAAAATTGATAACCTAACATAATTTTTGTGGAATATCTCATGCAGGAAATGTTTATGGATGTGAAGTGTTTATGGATGTGAAATGTTTATGGATGTGAAGTTTCTTGTTGGAATTTTATAAACAAGAATGGTAATGCTTCACAACACTACAGAATTTCTGTTAGCTGACAAATATTTCCTCACAAATCCGAGCTGCGGGTGTAGATTTAAAAGCACTGTTGTTAATTTTGTGAAAATACAATGTGAATTTACACTCAGGCTAACAATTCCTGCGGCCGTCGTAATATCAACCACATCACCCGTCTTGAGCCGATTTGTCTATAATAAATATAGGTCTAGCCCTATCTGCTTAAAGGCGTGGAAAATGGACCTTTCACTAACAACTCCTGGCACTAATTATCTCAAAATCATTTAATATGGCAGTTAACGCTTTCATTACAAGCAGATAACGTGTCATTGGCTTCTCATGAATCCCAGCATTCATAACATGTGGTCTCTAACCACTTTAAACATTTGGCCAGCATATGCCAACGAAAACTGGCTGCTCGTATCTAGCCTCTCTTAAAGCCACACATTTATGATTTTTCCAAAGTGGTTATCTGCCTCATTGGTCTTTGGAAACTGGTAAAATTGAATAACATTTTGGTATTTTCTAACAAGCAATTTTGAGAAAAGTAATGACAATTTTCCAAGTTTATCATTTTGGACAATAAACTCACAGGATACATTCCTTAATAAAGTGCCAGACAGAATAAAGAAAACAGTACCTCGTCACAAAATGTCAGGCTTTATTCACCACGTTGGATTACACACATGAAATGACGATGGTAATTAAACCAACTAAAATTAGGGAACAATATTTTAACCAAATTTAGTGAAACAAAGATGATATTTAAACTAAAGAAATTAGTCTAAGGTGATATTTAAACCAATTCAAATGAGACAAAGATACAAAGACGTATGAAACATTATGATGTTCGCACATAAGTAGGAAAAGGCGTAACAATGGTCTAGATCTACCAATGAACAATTTTAAAGTGGAAATTTGATGGAAGGCCACCAAATCACAATGATGATGATTGATGTATCTATTAAGTTGAAACATAAATTGAACATGAACAGAGCCACAGTTCTGAAAAATGAACAAATGTCTCTATAATTCCAATCTAAAAAACAAAAATCTGAAATTTGAAAACCTAATTTTCAAGCCCAACAGTTTTCCCTCTTAAGGGAATTTTCAAGAAAATAGAGATTAGCAAATTTCAAATTTCTTTGGGGAAAAAAACATTCTATCCTATCTCTTTATATCAGCTTAATGAAATTTTATACAACACAACATACAATCTAAACATTCATCCATGTTGTAATTAAAAAAATAATCACGCAAAAAGACTAATGTTTAGTGTTTTTTGTTTAACCGCAGTGGCTATTTCTTCCTGCAAGATTTAATGCCATGAAAAATAATATCACTTTTTTCTTTTCTTTTACGCAGCCCACTGGCATGAAGTTGTCCTAGCTTTTCTATCGCTGGAAGCTCATATCTTTCTCAATTATCTTTTCAAATGGGTTTATTTTTTGGGGGTCTGATTTTATTCCTTTGACAATTTTCTTTTGACACTGTGGGTTTTCAGTGCAAGGACACACTAGATCAGGTTTTCTCAATGTGTGTCTCATTCAAAACTAGCATCTTTTCCTCACCTCTTGATTCACTGGAATTCGTTTAGACCTCTCAAACAGGTCCTTTGTTTTTCATAAGCTTTTATTAAGTTCGCTTTTTTTTTTTTGGTTTGCCTGGTCGAATTTGTGTGTTCCGTTTTTTACTCTTTCTAGTATTCTTCTGCCTTTCAGCATCTGGCTATAAAGAGGCATCTGGTGCATTTGTGCAGCACAATTGCTGGTATTCATAGTCTCAGATATTCCGTCTATTGATTGATGCCTGTGTGAACAATCTCTAGTTCTGCTTACGGTGTGCCAAAGTGACAGGACCCACCCCCCATGGATCAACGGTGATTCTTTTCAATCATCAATTTAATCACTCTTTTCTGCACAAGCACTAATTAGGTAACGTTTGTAGTTTATTAGTAATATAATGTTACTAAAATAGTGAACCTAAGAAATAACTTTTTTTGTTGTTGGCATTTCTACTCTTAAAAAAAAAAAAAAAAAAACACTGATGAATGAAAAGAAAAAAACAGGAGTAAATGAGTTTATTAACTAAGTCTTCACTGAAAAGCTGCAATACTGTTTCACCTCTTTGTTTCCCCCCTTCCCCTCTGACTGTCCTATCAAACTTCACACACCTGCTACGAATGCAAACGATAACAGATGTCAACAAGTAAAAAGCAATGTCACATGAAACACAGAACTGCAGCTGTTTCAAGACCACCCAGTTTAACTATAAAGATCTTCATCTCCATCATCTCCACCTAGGTTGCCCCCTTGACCGCTTCCACCTGTGCCACCTTGACCCTGGTTCTGCCCTGCTGCTCCAGGGAATCTGAAAAATTGACAACATATTTCTACTTACTAACTACACAAGTTAAAGTTATGAATTCCAATAAATCAAAACGTGAAGGTAAGGCACACTAAATAGGACAGACACAGAGAAAACAGTATAGTTAGAAAGTCTGTCCTTTGGAACACACACAGCAAAGGAAAAGCTAACATTATATGCAGTAGAAAATAACAGATAGGCTGACTATATGATTATATCACAATTTAATTATAGGTACTGTTTAATTTTTTATCTGTATCTAGTTTCTTCATTTTTCACATGATTCTGGTTTTGTTGGCAGTCTTTTTCAAACTTCTCATGTCACAGGTGGTTAGTTTTCTCTCATGCTCCTTGGTTAATTTAATGTCAAACTCTGCCACTGATAACCTAAAGCTGGAATGCAGAATGTATTTACAATTTGTCTTCAAATACAGGCTGGAATAGCTGGATGTTGCAAGATTGCGGTCAGTTGATAACATAATTTTAGCTTGCTGGATTCTTCATTAGTATAGTGAGGACGACTTCTTGGTGTTCACCAGATGTAAACTGTAGCGGTAAGTTCTGGTTGTTCGTCCATTTCAGGACTTTAGTTTTGTTCCAGAACCTGAGTTTTGGGTGTACATCCGTTTTACTGATCTGGTTTGTATGCAGACTGTTTGTCCCTCACCTCTCAGGCAGATGCACTGCCACTTTAAAGCAAACGCACGTAATTAGTCAAAGTTTATGACATGTGTCGGCATCTGTGGCTTAGGCGTTGTGAACACGCTTCATAATGCAGAGTTCAAATCCAACTCCAGGTCATTTGGCAGCTGAACATCTTGCATATAGCGTTGATTTCGACAGTGGCACCGCCAGCTGACCTTCATAAAGCAATGGCAAACTACTAAACTTAAAATGTGCCTAGAAAAACTACAAGAGCCAAAAAATGCTGGTATCCTTTCTGCAACATCCTGTAAAAGTATTTGCAGCTAACTTTTATGACATGTTTGTTAGGGAGACAGTTGGTCTACACCCCGCCCTCCACAAGGAGCCCACATAGGGACAAACGAAGACCTCAATCCCAATGACTTGTTTGTGACCCCTGTTGGAACAAGATATAAAGCAAACACTGACTGCTAAAGAAGAAACATTTATTTTAAATTAGGATTCAGCGACTCACCTGAAGCCACCGAAACCTCTGCTTTGCTGTAAGGTCTGGGCGAACATCTCGTATTTCCGAATATCGTTCTCACTCACTGACCGTCTGGCGTATTTCATGGCCTCCTCAAAGTGTGCCCTTGTCAGCTCAGGGACTGGGTCATACTCCTCTACTTCCTAAAGCAGATTAAAAAAAACCAGCACAAGGATTTAGCAGAACTGACTTGAATTTTGGTCACAGAATACCGGATCCAAAATCTACCAAGTAATGCATGATTCGTAACACACATATAATCTTAGCACGATATACCTCACACACATATAATCTCAGCACGATATACCTCTCACACATATAATCTCAGCACGATATACCTCTCACACACATAATCTTAGCACGATATACCTCACACACATATAATCTTAGCATGACATACCTCACACACATATAATCTTAGCATGACATACCTCTCACACATATAATCTTAGCATGACATACCTCTCACACATATAATCTTAGCACGATATACCTCTCACACATATAATCTTAGCACGATATACCTCTCACACATATAATCTTAGCATGACATACCTCTCACACATATAATCTTAGCATGATATACCTCTCACACATATAATCTTAGCACGATATACCTCTCACACATATAATCTTAGCATGATATACCTCTCACACATATAATCTTAGCACGATATACCTCTCACACATATAATCTTAGCATGACATACCTCACACACATATAATCTTAGCATGACATACCTCACACACATATAATCTTAGTATGATATACCTCACATACATATAATCTTAGCATGACATACCTCTCACACATATAATCTTAGCATGACATACCTCTCACACATATAATCTTAGCATGATATACCTCTCACACATATAATCTTAGCATGATATACCTCTCACACATATAATCTTAGCACGATATACCTCACACATATAATCTTAGCACGATATACCTCTCACACATATAATCTTAGCACGATATACCTCTCACACATATAATCTTAGCACGATATACCTCTCACACATATAATCTTAGCATGACATACCTCACACACATATAATCTTAGCATGACATACCTCACACACATATAATCTTAGTATGATATACCTCACATACATATAATCTTAGCATGACATACCTCACACACATATAATCTTAGTATGATATACCTCACATACATATAATCTTAGCATGACATACCTCACACACATATAATCTTAGCATGATATACCTCTCACACATATAATCTTAGTATGATATACCTCACATACATATAATCTCAGCACGATATACCTCTCACACATATAATCTTAGCACGATATACCTCACACACATATTATCTTAGCATGACATACCTCACACACATATAATCTTAGCATGATATACCTCTCACACATATAATCTTAGCATGACATACCTCACACACATATAATCTTAGCATGACATACCTCACACACCTATAATCTTAGTATGATATACCTCACATACATAAAATCTTAGCTTGATATATCTCACATACATATGTAATCGACCCAGAAAATCCACAAAGTGAGGAACTTAAATTTCCAGAGGAAGAATTAGATCCATACAAAGGAGCTACTATTTGCAGACAATCAGTGCCTGTTCTACAATGAGGGGAGTAGACTGTAAGAACGTTTAAACAGGCTAAGTTCAACATGCTGAAGATATGAAAATACTACTAAAACTGAAGTAACGCATGTCAGCGGAATTCCTAGTCCACTACCTACTGGGTTGAATGGTACCTGTCTGAAGCAGGTTGAAGAATTTAAATATCTAAGAAGTATATTCTCGGAGGACAGGAATATAGATCGGGAAATAAATACAAGATGCCAATGAGCCAGTGCACTTATATACCAACTGACACCATTATCAAGACATACAAACATAAGCATAAGCGACAAGTAAGAAATTGTAAATAACATATTCATACCAACACTGTGCTACCTGGCCAGACTTGGACAATATTATGTAATCTTAGCAAGATAAACCTTACATACACACATATATTTAATTTTAGCTTACAGACCCCACAAACATATATAATATTTGCAAGATAACCTCACATACACATAATCTTAAATGTTTACACCTTACATACATACGTAATCTTTGCAAGATAACCTCACATACACATATATTCTTTGTAAGATACACCTCACATACATATATATTCTTTGTAAGATAAACCTCACATACATATATATTCATTGTAAGATACACCTCACATACATATAGATTCACTGAAAGATACACCTCACATACATATATATTTATTGTAAGATAAACCTCACACACATATATATTCACTGTAAGATACCTCTCACATACATATATATTCTTTGTGAGACTTCCGGTTAAAATGGACGCTAGACAGCGGCGCTGTTCGGAGCAGAGGCAATTTTTTTGCTTCTGCCGGACGGTGGTCGAAGTATTTTTGCTCCATTTGTAGACTGGATATAGTTTCGTCGCCCAGCTTCTGAGTTGAATGCATGGCGTGACCGATCTGTGAGGCTGCTGCGGATTGCATTTGGAATGCCTTTTTTTCGACTGTGACCAACGTGAAGGGTGTGAAGTGGTGTGATTCAGAAAATGGGGCGCGATGCCTGTCAGTGCAATGCTGGCGGGGGGGCGGGGCCCGTATTAAAAATTGATCGCGCGCGGGCAACTGACCTGATCTGTTGGCGACAAGTTTCTGCTATCATCAATGATGAACTGCATTTCTAATGTGTGGACTGTTTGTGTTAGCACTTCGGATGGCTACCATATTGCTTTAATGCGAGTAGTATGCTAGATATGCTGAGACACAGCAGTCTGTCAATTTTTCCACAAGGGACTGTGATAGACATTCTGAGTGTTTTTCGCTGGCACAGGAGCGGAGCAAAGATGGGGCGACCCGTTTGCTATGAAGCTGAAACTAAGACTACCAGACCAGACATATATTTTTTGTAAGATAAACCTCACATACATATATATTTATTGTAAGATACACCTTACAAACATATATATTCCCTGAAAGATACACCTCACATACATATATATTCATTGCAAGATACACCTCACATACATATATATTCATTGTAAGATGCACCTCACATACATATATATTCATTGTAAGATGCACCTCACATATATATATATTCATTGTGAGATACACCTCACATACATATATATTCATTGTAAGATAAACCTCACATACGTATATATGCATTGTAAGATGCACCTCACATACATATATATTTATTGTAAGATACACCTCACATACATATATATTCATTGTAAGATAAACCTCACATACGTATATATGCATTGTTAGATACACCTCATATACACATAATCTTAGCTTTATACACATATAATCTTTGCAAGTTACACCTCACAAATTTTTTTTCAAGCTGAAAACTCCTTACACATAATGTTAGCATAATACACCTTGCATTTAAATATATAATCTTAGCTTCACACACCTCACAAACATTTATAATCTTAGCGTCACACACCTCACAAACATTTATAATCTTAGCGTCATACACCTCACTAACGTATGTTATCTTTGCATGATACACCTAACAAACACATATAATGTTAGCATGATACATCACTCTCTCTCTCTCTCTCTCGCACACACAACTGTAGCTTCATACACCTCACAAATGTATGTAATCTTTGTATTATACACCTAACAAACGTATGTTAGCATGATACACCACTCTCTCTCTCACTCACACAATCATAGCTTTATACACCTCACAAACATATAATCTTTGCAAGATATACTTCATACAAATAATCTTGGCTTGATACACCTTAGTTAACATATATTTCAATTCTAGTTAATGTTAACGTTATATACATACCATATCTGCATCAGGATTCTGGGCACGCTCACGCTCCGTGCGTATTTCAGCTTCAATGGATTGTCTAATTGCCAGTTTGCATGCTCTCTGGCAGATTTCTGTCAAATCAGCACCACTGAAACCTTTAGTAACCTTAGCCAGGTATTCGAGGTCGACATCCTTGACGAAGAAAAAAAAGAAACTATTCGATACAGCAGAAACAAATACCAGAATACTAAAATCTTTTACAGTTCAGATTCAATGTGACAAACTCTTCACTGTCTACAGCCTGGCTTTTACAATTTTTTGTTTATGACACTGCAATATCTGCTTCTTTCATCCCAACACATCCAACTTCAGCAAAACCCAAATTGTTTCTTCTAACATGCTTGTTAGTGGGCAGGGGTTCAGGGTGCCAGTGTGTTGTGTTGCGCTAGTTGTGGGGGGGGGGGGGGGGGGGGGTGGGGGGGGGGGGGGGTGGGGGGGGGGAGGGGGGGGGGGGGAGGGGGGGGGGGGGGGGGGGGGGGGGGGTTGTTTGATTTAATGGGGGGGGGGGGGGGGGGTGGGGGGGGGGGGGGGGTTGTGGGGGGGTTGGCATGTCAAAAACAAGCATGGTCTTAAACCCTAATTATGGATGTAAACTTTCAAAGTCAGAGTGTATCAGTCTGAGAGGGGAGGAAACAACCATCTGCATACAAACAGGCCAGAGATTACAGCCTGTGAACACTAAAATTAAGAACGGGATATGAAAATGTAATCAATCATTATAACATGAACATACCTTTAGCAATTGGTGATTTGCGCAGATTTGCCTTCAGGATCTGAATACGGGACTTGTCGTCAGGGAGGGGAATGTAAATCAGCTGATCCAGACGCCCAGGTCTTAGGATAGCAGAGTCAATGATATCTGGCCTGTTGGTGGCACCAATAATAAAGACATTCTTTTTGGCGGACATACCGTCCATCTCTGTCAGTAGCTGGTTGATGACTCTGTCAGCAGCGCCACCTGATGGGAAACACAAGAACGGACTGTTTTCAAAAGCAAACCAGGCGATTCTCTAGAAGCTGTGTCTTCATTATATTTAAAACTATTCTATAGCGGCTAGATGCTTGCTTGCGGATCAGAAGGTCGTAGGTTCACATCTGAACGGAGCCGGACATTTTCAAACATGACCTTAGCTCCAAGGTCGACCCAGCCTTAAATGGGTACCTGGTAAATTCGTTGGAAGTAAAGGTGGGCGGCTTAATGCTGACCATATCACCCGCTAAGTGTCGACTGGTCTACAAAATATGTCTAGCACTATATGCACAATACGTCTCAAGGTGTGGAAAAGAGCCCTTTTCTACTGTTTACTTTTACTGCCGTGAGGTAGTCCTTGTCAAGACTGACAAGAACCATATACTGTTTGAAACATTGGATAATCAGACATGGTGGGGGTGGGGGGGGGGGGGGGGGGGGTAGTGTTTCATATGTTACCAGAAGGAAAGATGGACTTGAGAAATGATGACAACTGGTAAGACTGATGGGAGAGAAAAAGAAAAAAGAATAGACAAGGAGATAAATACCTGAGCGTTTTGGTCATATATGGATGGGGGGAGACAGGACCAGTGACCTGATTCATGATTCCGGTGATCATATAAGATGGTGAAATATGACAGCTTACAATTATCGGCACAGAACGTGATGATGATGCAATGTGTGATTTACTTTGATGCAATCTGCCTGTCTCTGTGTGTGTGCGTGTGTGTGGGAGGGAGGGAGGGAGGGAGGGAGGGAGGGAGAGGGAGAGAGAGAGAGAGAGAGAGAGAGAGAGAGAGAGAGAGAGAGAGAGAGAGAGAGAGAGAGAGAGAGAGAGAGAGAGAGAGAGAGAGAGAGAGAGAGAGAGAGAGAGAGAGAGAGAGAGAGTTAAAAAAAAAGTTGTTTGTAAAAGGTAGACAATAGAGAAAGAAATTGACCAGAAAAACAAAATCTTTTTAAGTCTTTACAGTTATAAAGAAGACAGACAAGGCATTGGGGAAGTATGAAACACACACCTCCATCACCAACATTTCCTCCTCTGGATTTGGCTATGGAGTCCAACTCATCAAAGAACAGAACACATGGAGCAGCGGACCGGGCCTGTAGACAGATTTAAAAAAAAAAAAAAATATTTATATATATATTAACATTTAAGATGACATAATCTCACCATATATATATATATATATACACACATCACTTATTTTTTGTTTTTTGCCTAAGTAAACAGTTAAGTCTGCAACATACACACATAACTGCCTGTGTATACCACTTCCACAGTGTCGGGATTCTAGCTTGTTTTACCCTATCTAAGCTGTGACCTGCCCTACTTGAACTTCAACAAACCTCAATTAATAAACAGTTTTACCTACCTAAACTCTGCCAAACCACACAAATGTCTGACATATAAAACTGGCAAAACACACAATTGGGCCTAACAAACTAGGATAACATTCAATAAATAGTTTGATCCAAATAAACTCTGGCCAATCTCAATAAACAATTTCATGTGTACATTTAAATGTTTAGGCAAATTTTCAGTCTGACCTATCCTAAACTCTATAAACCTCAATAAACAATTTCAAGTTTATATTCTTGGGCAAACCTTCATAAACAGTTTGACCTATTCTAAACAATGACCTACGACCAGAATTTGGCTTACCTTATCAAAGATGTCCCTGACATTCGCCTCAGACTCTCCAAACCACATGGTTAGCAGCTCAGGTCCTTTGATAGAAATGAAATTGGCCTGGCACTCATTGGCAATGGCCTTTGCCAGCAGAGTTTTACCGCAGCCGGGTGGCCCATAGAACAACACTCCTTTGGAAGGAGTCATTCCAAACTTGAGGAATTTCTCTGGGTGTTCAACTGGGTACTGAAAAATGCGAAAGTGGTATATAGATAGGCAGAATTAAACATATGAAGTTTTTAATGGGTGTTTAAAGGTCTTTTCCTCTTCTTCTTCGCTTTCACTGGCTGTAAACTCTGGCAGAAAGTCCTTGGTTATTCATTTACTTTTGGGATTTGGTCTTGTTCTGTGTGCACATCCACTCTCTACAGATCTGGCTTATTTGTGTGCAGACTAATGGTTCTTTATCTTTCAGGCAAATGGGCCGTAGGTGTGTTCCAGGGCTGCGCACTTTACTTCATGAGTGCAGTTTTTACTAAGGGGCCTGGGGATTGTCGCCGGAGCTATGGTGTTCGTGCTCTGTGCTGCGCTCTTGGCAGGTGACCAGCCTTTCTACTGACTTTAAAACCTGTAACCTTTCAGGCAAATGCACTCCGACTGGAGGAAACATGGATCCTAGTTAAGCTGACCAGACCCCCCCCCCCCCCCCCCCCCCCCAGCAGGTAACCTGTTTCAAGGGTGACCACAGAGGTGTAGATAGGTCCTGGCCACCTGTGGTTCAACACCTCTGTTCAGATTTGCGGAAATTGGTGTGTAAAGGTAAAAAAAAAAAACATTCTTTACTGCACAGGGTTTCATCCTATATGGCCAAGTCTCTGTCCAAAGCAGCTGGTTGCCCGCAAGAGTACTGCATAAAGCACAAACTCTGTAGCTCTATCAATGATCACCAGGGGTCTTTGCAACGTCTGCACCTGCAGGACAGTCTGAAATCGAACCTAGAATCTTGATAGCATAGAGGTGACCGGCTTAATTACTCTGCCACTAATTTCTTTCCATTAGTGTTTTCAAATTCCAATTTGAAAGGCAAAATATACTTTTATATCTCAAGTAACAGAAAGTATTGTGAACGGCACTCATAGAAAGAAGTAGAAAGAAGTAAAAAGAATTTTATAATTTTTATATCTCAACCCAGTGTAAAGTGACGAGAAGGATAAAACTAAAGTACATTGTGGCGGTAGAAAAGTTGGAGGGGAGAAGACGCAGAAGGAGACCAGGAGAACAGATGCTGGACAGTTTGACATCATGGCATGGAAGATCGATCATCTGTGTCAGAGTTGACTGAAAGTACACAAAACAAAAGACTATGGATAGACATGGACTTTAAGAAGAAGAATTCATCTCTGTGCCCATATGGACTGTGCGTAAGAAATAGAACATGCCCTGCAAGACTTTGTATAGCCCATTAGGGCAGTACTGGTCCAATGACTCAAGCTGTATGTAACCAAAGTGGAACTCCCTTACATGTTCAGTTTATCCAGAAAATAAAAACGCATGTCAGTGTAATTCAAGGAAATGATCACAAAAAGATTAAACAAAGAGTTAACAAAACAACTGAATCAATCACTAAATCAGAAAAACAAAGGGTTAATCAAACAACTGAATCAATGTCCAATCGCTACATCAGAAAAACAAAGGGTGAATCAAACAACTGAATCAATGTCAATCGCCACATCAGAAAAACAAAGGGTTAATCAAACAACTGAATCAATGTCAATCGCCATATCTGTAGCCCATATTCGCTTTCCAAGGAAAAGCACTGACCTGCACCAACTCCTGAAGCTCCTTCTTGACATTCTCCAAGCCTCCGACATCCTCCCAGCTCACATTGGGTACCTCCACGGCTGTCTCCCGCAGAGCACTTGGGTTACTCTTTGCCAAAGCCCACTGAAAACAAAATCAAGCTTCATTTACTGCTAATGCTTGTGACATGCAGTGCCTATTTACAATTTTTAATGTATTAATGGCATTATAATGGCAAATGAATTAGTAACCATGGAAATAAGGTGTCTGAGAAGACTGTAGGAGTGATCAAAAGAGATAAAATCAGGAATGAGGTCATTAAAAATAATGTGGGCAGAGAACAAATTCTAAATTACATATGAAGACAGCAAATCAAATGGTCTGCGCCCTTGGAGAGAATGCCTCTTGATGTTATACCATACAAGGCAGAGACCAGAAGAGGAAAGGGACGTAGAGCAAGAGGTACACCAAGAATAAGATGGAAAGATAACTTCCGAGAAACTCTACAGCACTACAATGTGTCTATGGTCGAAGCGGCCAGAAGAGCATGAAGCAGGACGTTATTTCTCCCTCGATACCCGCAGCAGTGAAAGAGAAAGTAAAGAAGAAAAAGAAGAATGGCATTAATAAACGTATCAACGCTCGTTGCAAGGACAGTAACTGTTAGGTATCCACACATACTGAGTAATAGCATTTAAAAAAATTAAATCTGTATGACCTATTTCCTTCTCTATTGTGTATAAAACTTTTGTAAATGTCTCGAATTAAACGCAAATTCTGAACAATGCTTCCCATTTAAATTATCATTTGTAAAATATTTCCCCTAATATCCAAACCCCACCCCCCCCCCCCCCCCTCAGAGTTCTCCTCCCTTGGGGGCACTTCGAATTGTCACGAAAGTACAACGTTTACAAAAGCAACATGGCAGTTAACTCCCCATAATAACATCGTTATTCCGACGCAACCTTAGGTTGCCACGGACGTAAATGCAATACCTGTCATGCCATAATGAATGTTTGGTTGCGGTGGCTAAATAGGCATATCTGATGAAACACGCAACCGTGTTCCTCGTGCACTTGCCAATGTTCCTATGTCCCCGTCAATACCACACAAACAATGCTGTGAAACGCACCATTCGCCAACGATTGGGCACCAACGCACACTAGTCATATTTGCAGAACTATTCCATACGCCCACAAACATCAGATTGTCTGCCATATTTCCACGTCAAATTTTAACATCATAGAAACCCTAGACCCTAAAACCCACCCCTAACCCTAAATAACCCTAGACCCCTAAACCCGAACCCCATAACCACTAACCCTAACCCTGTCACCCTAACTCTAACCCAACCAACCGACATGATGAGTGACTACACAACCAGTCACAATGCCTCACGAAACCGTAAGCCCTACAGGCAACCGCAGGATGATAGGTAAGTGTGTTCGTTTATTTCGTTTGTTTTCCGATTCACTCTTCTGCATTCATTGGGAGAGAACTCTGACTAACTCGTCCACGGCTGTTTATTCTTCGTCCGGATTTGACAGGAGAACCGAGTTTTTTGTTTGTTTAAAGACAATGACAAGTGGGCTAGTGAAAGAAGTCTTTTTTCTTCTCTTCTGCATTCATTGGCTGTAAACTCTGCAGGAAAGTTTTATTGTTCGTCCACCTTCTGGCACATCCTTATTGCAGTTTGATCTGGCTTATTTATGTACTGGATTTATGTACAGACTGTTGGTTCCTAGCCTCTCAGGCGGATGCACTTGGACTTCAAAAGTTGGTGGACACACATGGGGGAATAACAATAAAAAAATTAATAAACAGCAGTACAGCGGTCTCAGAGAGTGCATATCCAGGGTGACAGACAGAGAGTGGTGGAGATCTATTACAGACAATCTTCACTGTGGAGACAGCACCTGACTGACTGATCCTATGGGGAGGAAACAGTCACAACTTGTTAAGGTACTTACTCTAAAGTTCTCCATGGTAACTGCCAGGGAATCCAGCACTTCGGCATCAATAGTCTCATCCTCGAGATCAATTAGGTCCATCTTTTCTCTGATCTGCTGTAAGGCAGCTTCTGAACACAGAGCAGCCAAATCAGCTCCCACATGGCCATGAGTCTCGGAGGCCACCTGCAAACAGGAAATATTTACACATTTTCAGAGGGGAAAAACAATGAACCTGACTATGGTTATTGCACTCATGAAGGCTACATACACATCAGAACTTCACTTCCTTGCATTCACTGCAACTAGTTCCATACTAAGAACCCACTCCAACATTACAGAAAAAAAATCTGGGTTATCTTTTGTGCTGTTTACTAAACTGTCAAGAACACTGGGACCAAAACTGTTTATACTTTTCCTAGGCAAATCCCAAACCTTGTGGAATTTATGAGACACAACAGAAGGAGTGCAACAGTTAAGTCAGTGTAAAAACATTCTGCACTCCCCATGGAGTTGCAGAGCCCCATTTGGGGAGGAAGGGAATAGACTCACCACCCCCTCCTAACAAGAATGTTGTAAAAGTGACTAATTAGGGGTTTGTTGAAACCGGAAGTGTTCGGTCAAAAACTGCAGACTAGCTATAAACAACAGCACAATTTGCTGAATGTCCTTTCAGGGGCAAAAGCGGAAAGAGAAAACACTTAGCAAAAGAGTTTTTTTTTTGCGTTCACCTGTAGTAAACCCCGGGAGAAAGACCTGGTTGTTCGTCCATTTCTGGACTCTAACCCAGGACCTGAGCTTTGCGTGTGCATCTGTTTTACAGATCTTGCTTTTTTGTATGCAGACTGTTGGTTCCTTGCCTGTCAGGCAGATGCACTCCAATTTCGAAGGAAGCCCCCAATTAGTCGACTCCTCCTTCTTTCGTTCGCCTGAATTAAGTTGTCTATATCAGCAATTTTGTCTCTTGTATAAATTTCACTGTTGTTAATTGATTCAGTGGTCCATAGAGTTTACGTTCCACTGTTGTTCTTTCTGGCCAAAAGGTTAGCCTTAATGTGTCAAATTCGGTGCAGTCCTGGAGTACATGCTCTGCTGTCTGAGGCACCTCTCCACAGGTGCACATGGCTGATACGCCTATCTTGAATTTTGTGTACATGTGGTTACGTAATCGGTTGTGCCCTGTTCTGAGGCGGAGGATAATGACTTGTTCTGATCTGTCCAAAATAAAATAGTCGTCCTGTGCTGGGGCTGGTGGTTTCCTCATTGATTTAATGATTCTTTTCTTTTGGTGGTATGTGACTGGTACATCCGGCTGCACTTTATTCGCACCTTCTCCCGCCAGTTGATCAGCTTTCTCATTTCCAGACACTCCACAATATGACGGTATCCACTGCATAACAACTCTTTGCTGAAGGCTAAGTTGTGTCAGCAGTGTTTGCAATTCTGGTAGTTTCCTAGACTGGAGTGCTTCAAGTACTGATTTTGCATCTGTCAGCATTACTACATACTGGGAGCCAAGATTGGTATAGTCGACTCCTATAACATGCTTGTTGGGGAAACAGTGGGTCTATTCTCGTTTCCCCCACAATGGGACACTGGAACCCTCTCGGGGAAAGAGAGAGAGAGAGAGTTAACGTAAGGTGATAAAACAGGTGCCGAATAATTTTCCTGGAGGGAAATAAGTTCAAATAAGAAAGAGGCACACACCTGTTCCAGATCCACATCATCTCCCAGCTTCATGTTCTTGGTGTGGATTCTTAAGATCTCCAGCCTGCCGGTTGCATCAGGAATACCAATGTCCACTTCTCTGTCAAAACGGCCTGAAAACAAAGCAGCGATGTTAAAACAGGCAACAAAGACACAGAAAATATGAGTTTAGTGTTATAAACTGATAGTTTAAATCAGTGATTCTCAACCTGTGGTTCAGGACCACTTTAGAATCAAATGACCCTTTCATGGGGGTCATCTAAGATTATTGGAAAACACATTCACCGAAATTATGAAGTAGCAACGAAAATAACTGTATGTCTGGTAGTCACCATAACATGAGGAACTACATTAAAGGGTCGCTGCATTAGGAAGTTTGAGAACCACTGGTTAAAATGGTGGTGAATTAATGCATGGCTAACTAGATGTTGTGAGGATCCTATGGCAGCGAGTGAACAGTGCGGTGGCACAAACAGATCTCAATCTGAAAAGAATGGTGCTACAAGGAGTGACTAGAGAATCTGGCCGACGCTGAACACTCAAGGGAAAGACGACACAGATACACAATCAGACTGCTACTGATCTGATCGGAACTGGAATTCTTTCTGCTGAAGATGGGGACAAAGCATTTGTGGGATGTCATGACATGGAAAACCGGCAACAAAATGGTTTAAACACACAAAAATAATGAATAACAGCTTCTCACCAAATCGTCGGAGGGCGGGATCAATGCTGTTTGGTCTGTTGGTAGCAGCCATGACAATGACATGAGACCTCTGTTTGAGACCGTCCATCAATGTCAACAGTTGGGACACAATACGTCTCTCCACCTCACCATGAGTCTGTCACAGAAATATATACAGTTCTTTGTTATTGTTTCAGCTTCTGGACACATCAAGCAAATTATAAACAAACTTAGCAGCATTTTTTACAAAATGAAGAACACCTTATGCTAGGTCTATTCAACTGGTGGCGGAGACCTAACAAGTGGCACACACATCACTGCCACCTGTATTGTAATAATGATCTTTCTAAGCTGATGCTCTAGTCTCTGGCCTGTGACCATCACCATTTTCAAAATGTTGGCCCCTGAGTAAACTTAGCTGAATAGTCCTTCTATTGCAATCTTTGTCAACTGAGACGAGAGAGAGAATTCTCAGAGCTATATACATCCTGGACATATATCATGTTGAATCATGGACAGTTGGACAATTAGTGAAAAATTATGTGGGAGCAGCAGAGATGTGGTTTTAAAGATGAATGATGAGAATACCCTGGACAGATTAAAAATGTAAGAAGATGTCTTGACTGAAACGGACTCACTGAGAGAACTGATCACCCACATCAGAAAAGAATCTACATTCTGTGGTCATGTCATGAGAAGGACAAACTTTAAGTACGCTGTGATGGTGGGAAAGTTGAAGGGGAAGAGAGGCAGAGGGAAACCGATAGAAAAGATGCTGGAAAGTTTGACCTTATGGCATGGAAGATCATCTGTGTCAGAACCAACAAAGTACAGGAGACAGAAGGTTGTTGACAGACATGGTTACCAATGCCACATGTCACGGACTATGAGAAGAAGACTGGCAAACTATTCATCATAAGCTGATGGTTTTAAAGTATACATCAATATAAATTATAAACCTCTTGCAACCAGGTCAATACACAAAACACATAAATGCAACAGCTCTGGCATATATTATTTAAATATAATGATAGATACTCATATTTTATTGAAATGTCTTGTCCACAACAACATACACATATATGTCTAGGTTTGTTGCGTATCCTTTACAGGACATTGCAGAACCAACCCCTCCAGCCCCGGGCTGTTGTGTGGTTTTTCTAGGCAAATTTATGTCCAGTAGTTTGTCATTGCTTTCTGGACGGTCAGCTTTCTTGATACCACTGTCGAAACCAACGCTAAGCCCGCAGATGGAACTGAGCCCGGCATTATGAAGCGTTCGCGACGACTTAGCCACAGAGCCGACACATACATGTCAACATTTTATATATATATACATATATATTCAGAAGACATTGTAATTCTTGTCACCTTCTCTCGTTTTGGGGCAATGGCATCAAGCTCGTCAATGAAAATGATAGCAGGGGAGTTTTTCTCAGCCTCTTCAAACGCCTTACGCAGATTGCTTTCAGACTCGCCAGCCAATTTACTCATGATTTCCGGACCTAGTTGAAACATAAGATGGCAAAGCTAAACAATTAACGACTTTGAATATAAAATATTTATTTACAGTACATTCTTCTTATCTGCTACTAACTCTTTTCTTATCATAGATAAGATATGACAGGTGAGAGTGTGAGGTCGACGACACTGCGCAACTCTTCCTCACTTTAATCCAAATCACAGCGCAAGTCACTCTTTCATCTTCATCTCAAAGCTCATTCCTTGTTCTCACTGTCCATGAACTTTTCGGGCCTGCATCGGCCTCATCAGTCATCTTCGTACTCATACTTGATGAAAAAGAGTGGTCATCATCATCTTGATGGACAACACACACACATCATAGAAGAACATAAGATGCAACATTTTGAATATGCAATTTATTACAAGTAATCTCCATATGCTGTAATAAGAATTTTTTCTTTTCCTTTAGCATTTGAAGCCAACAGAAGAAGAGAATGATCAAATCAATCAGAATGCCACCGAAACTGGCACAAGATGATTACCATATTATGGACAGACCAGAGCAAGTTATTATCCTTCGCCTTAGAACAGGGCACAATAGACTTCGCTCCCACATGTACAACAAATTTAAGATTGGCCAATCGGCCATGTGTACTTGTGGACTGGCACCTTAAACAACAGATCACATCCTTCAAGACTGTCCCATATTCAACGCTTTCAGGCAAAACATTTGGCCAAAAGAGACACTTGTGGAAGTCAAACTTTACGGGCCGCTTAGTGAATTACAAAAGACAGTGAAATTCATACAAGAGACGGCTTTGCAGATATAGACAATTTATTTCATGCGAACGAAAGAAGAAGAAGAAGCATTTGAAGCTCTTGAGATGCACTGCTACAAATATCACCTAATTCAATTCATCTCTCTGGCTGGCCTTCTTTTTCCAGTTAGTCTTTTTCTTCTTCATGCTTACCAGTTAAACTTTGGCAGAAAGTTCTTGTTTGTCCTCTTTCAGACATTAGTCTTACTTCGGGCCTTGAGTTTTGCCTGCACATCCATTTAACAGAATTGGCTTATTTGTAAGCAGGCTGTTGGTTTCTCGCCTCTCAGGCAGATGAACGACTTCGAAGGAATTTCCAGTTAGTGACTAGTGCAGCGGTTCTCAACCTATGGGTCACGGCCCCTTCACAGGGGTCGCCAAAAACCATCGCAAAACAAATAATTGAAATTATAAAGTAGCGTCAAAAATAACTATGATCGCCACAACATGAGGAACTGTATGTGGCATTAGGAAGGTTGATGGCCACTGCACTAGTGTCTGTATATTATCTCTCCATAAAAAAGGACATCTAGAACCTATTGTTTAATACATTTTAAACTTATGTGTATGTGTGAGACCTGTCACTGAAAACACCTTCCTTGGGAGTTAAAATTAATTATTCATGCATGTGTACTTATTCCTACAGGACGACCGCCCCCGTTATCTTTTGCAGGCAGCAAGTTCTAATCTTCTTCTTTTACCGGCTGTCAGGTCGAGCAGAAAGTCCTAGTTGTTCATCCCTGTGCCAAGGCCTGAGCTCTGTATGTACATCTGTTTCACTGGCGTATTTGTGTACTTATTTTCAAACAATTTATCAGTGACCTGTGTAATATGATGTGGTTTTTAATAATTGATTTTCCCCCAGGTGTCCCACTGGTTCAAGACCCATTTATCGTAGCACTGGCGTGGCAAAAGGGTCACAGCTACACAACCAACTGTACTCACCGTTAATGAGAAAGAAGAAGGCTCCAGTCTCATTTGCTACAGCCCTGGCAATGAGGGTTTTACCCGTGCCTGGAGGGCCGTACAAGAGGATACCCCTTGGAGGCTGGAAAATTGTAAAAATTACATTGATAAAAATTAATATTTTTTTAAAAAATGAGCTGAATTAACTGGCAACACAGTAACGGCGACATTCCTATAATCACCCCCCCCCCCCCCCATCACTAGCCACAGCAGTTTCATTATTTATGTACCAATAGCAGTTCTGTTACATGTCCGCTCTGCTTTTCCTGAATATCCACAGTGCCACCTGCATCCACTGGATCACCTTTCCAGATTTGATATTCTCTTCACTCTTCATTATTTATTTTTGGAATAACAACACATTGTGGGAAAAAAGGTGTACTGGGCATACACTGATTAAAAAAGTAAAGGACCTATGTATTGGACATATACTGATAAAGTAAAGGACCTATGTATTGGACATATACTGATAAAGTAAAGGACCTATGTATTGGACATATACTGATAAAGTAAAGGACCTTTGAATTGGACATATACTGATAAAGTAAAGGACCTATGTATTGGACATATACTGATAAAATAAAGGACCCATCCATTGGGCATTAACTGATAAAGTAAAGGACCTATGTATTGGACATATACTGATAAAGTAAAGGACCTATGTATTGAACATATACTGATAAAGTAAAGGACCTATGTATTGAACATATACTGATAAAGTAAAGGACCTATGTATTGAACATATACTGATAAAGTAAAGGACCTATGTATTGAACATATACTGATAAAATAAAGAACCTATGTATTGGACATATACTGATAAATAAAGAACCCCTGTGTTGGGCATATATCTATAAAATAAAGGACCCATCCATTGGGCATTAACTGATAAAATAAAGGATCTTTTCACGCAAAGAGTGCATCAGGCATATAATGTTACGGCTCAAATTTGTATACACTAATCAGCCCTCGATGGGTGATGTGGTCAGCCCTACGTAGGCTGCCATTACTTCTTACTCTCCTGGCTGTCTCAAACACATTGATCTGTTTTATTCGATGTGATTTTTCCAACTTGTTCTTGGTCAATTTGATGCTCTAACCTGGTCTTTTTTTTTTTTTATCTAGCCTCGATGGGGATCTGATGCTATAAAAACTGGGCCATAAGGTTCTATCAAATTATCTGATAAGGCAGTCACTAAAAAGTTGGTGAATTTCTAATCAAACAATAATTATTTCACATCCAAGAGATATGGAAACTTACTAATACACAAACATTCTCCCTCTCTGCAACAAACATAAGCATTGAAAATACACTTAGAATTCAAGCAGCTGTTTTACAGAAATAATACACTGGTATGATAAAACATTTGTGCGTATGCGTCCTACCTTGACCCCAATGGCTTTGAAGAGCTGTGGGTGTCTCAGGGGTAGTTCCACCATTTCTTTGATCTGGGCAAGTTGTTTCCTGCAGCCACCAATGTCATCGTAGCCAACTTCATTTAATTGTTCTTCCTCCTCCTATAGGACAGCAAATAACTTTGTCAGTATTAAAACAAACAATTCTAAATGTGGGTTTCAGGGACCATTTGGGGAGGGAGGGGGGAAGAACATAACAGGCCCACTAACCAGAAAACAGGAAGTCGTAAAGAGTAATTAATTAGGAATTTACTGAAATCATTTGTGCTAGGTCAAAAAGCACAGATATGGCTGTCTAGCTGAGACGACTCAATGTCGCATCCAGTCTTTCATCCAGAGTGAAAAAAGAAGACGCAGGCATTTAACCTGTTAGCACATTCTAGTTCTCCAAACCAACGGAAACAATCGATCAGGGCTAACAGTAAAGATGGCATTAACCATAATAAAAGGAAAAAGTCTCAGATGCTAGAGTGATAGGTTATGCTATCACAATTGATATTCCTGCACACTGGTCATTCTATGCATGCTCAGTCCTCCAATGCAGCAGCCAAGGTACTGATATTTCCATGAGGAGCTGACTATAATGACTTCTGTCTCGGCCTCAAAGGCGGCACAGATGTGCTTCACCACGCTTTATTCCGATGTCACATAATTGTGTTAGCATCACATAGATCTGTCATTATCCAGGGACCTAGCCCTTACAGCACTGACGACATCTATGGTGCTAGCCCTGATTTTGTAAAGATCAGCATTCAAAAGGCAGATGTGGTAAAATCTTTTAGTTGTTTCAGTCTCACAAGATCTCATAGGAGATGCCTAGCGAGTACTTAGCTACAGGGAATAAAGCATACATGCATTACTTTCTCAGGGGCAGCGTATCACTTAAAAACATAAAAATACTATGCTGAACTGTAAAATAATGGATTAAATGTTTTTCACAAAATCGGATCACATCATGCGTTGTTTGAAGTGTTGTCTGGGACTGAAAGAGTTATGTCAGCCAGTAGATTAGCTAACTAGTTTATACATAAATACCCTATTTAAGACACTAACATCCAACAAAATATTAAAGTTAAAAAAAAAAAATAGAATAAAAAGTATTGGACCCTTTTCCATACCTTTAGGCATATTAGGCATATAGGGCTAGACCTATATTTTATAGACCAATCAGCACTTGGTGGGTGAGATGGTCAGTACCAAAAAAAATGTATTAATCATATTTAACGAACACTAACCTCTCGTTTAACAGGTGTCCCCTCACAATGAATGACTGTGTCTGGAGCAACAATGCAGTATGGCTGGGGGTCTGTTTCAATAACTTTAAACTCCACAGCCCTCATACCACCACGTACAAGGAAGATGTCACCCTTCTTTATTGGCCTATAGGCCTCCAGGAAATATGGTTTCAGGAATACTTCAAACAAGTTTCTGGAAGTTAACAAATAGTATCATAAAGTTAGTTGACAGATTATTCTCACTGCACATCAAACATAAAAGTGCTCAGATCTACTCCTCAGGAAACCCCAGTGTGTAGCGGCTGACAACACCAGCAGACACAATCTGACAAAACCAGCAGACACAATCTGACGACACCAGCAGGCACAATCTGACGACACCAGCAGGCACTATCTGACGACACCAGCAGGCACAATCTGACGAAACCAGCAGGCACAATCTGACGACACCAGCAGACACAATCTGACGACACCAGCAGACACAATCTGACGACACCAGCAGACACAATCTGACGACACCAGCAGACACAATCTGACGACACCAGCAGACACAATCTGACGACACCAGCAGACACAATCTGACGACACCAGCAGACACAATGTGACGACAACAGCAGACACTATCTGACAACACCAGCAGACACTATCTGACAACACCAGCAGACACTTATCTGGCGACACCAGCAGGCACTTATCCAACAACACCAGTAGGCACTTATCCAACGACACTTTCAGACAATATCTGACGACACCAGCAGACACTATCTGATGACACTAGTTCTGTATTGGTTTATTCTTTTCTCTTTGGCTGCTTGCTTTGCTGTTCTTGTTTGGCATGAACCTTATTTTTGCTGTTCTTGAAGTCTGATCATGGTTGCAGATTCAGTCCTCACTCGGTTCTCGTAATTCTCTTATTTCTTAGAGTATTCAGTACAACAGCCTGGTCCTTGGCTCACCCACACTCCACAGCAGCTTTACATGCAAGCCTATCAGCTGGCTCATTTCTTTGTACACCAGCATGGTCTTTGCATGAAAATGATCTTTCCTAGCCATGACTACCGCAAGGATACCAACCACTGTCTGCAGACACAGTGCATCTTTGTCTTCCTCAGCAAGATCATTGAGTCACTGAGATTAAAATATCATACAGTAAAGGTCCCATCACACGTCAATGGTGCGTCGGGCACATGAGGCTAAACTAATATTTTTATAAACCAATCGGTCCTTTATGGGTAATGTGGTCAACACCACGCTGGCCACCTTTACTTCCCATGATTGACTGATTCAATCAATCGATCCTCATCGCACCCAGATGCACATAAGGCATAGACAGACTGTCACCACTCAGTTTGATCCTGAGCCATCCTATCTCTAGTTTTATCCTTTGCGTAAAGTAGTACAAGGCCAGTGAACCTAAGGTTCAGAATTAGGTTGGTTAGGTTAGGAATTATTTTAACCACTGCTGTAATTTATGCCTGGCTTTGGAATGTGATACAATATAAAACAACTGAGAAACAGTTTCTGTGATATCACAGTGGAGTAAGAAAAGCTATAACTACAGAGTTTATAAACAACTGAGAAACAGTTTCTGTGATATCACAGTGGAGTAAGAAAAGCTATAACTACAGTGTTTATAAACAACTGAGAAACAGTTTCTGTGACATCACAGTGGAGTAAGAAAAGCAATAACTACAGTGTTTATAAACAACTGAGAAACAGTTTCTGTGACATCACAGTGGAGTAAGAAAAGCTATAACTACAGTGTTAAGTCATAATGCGCGCTTACAGATGGAAACAGTGACAGGTGGAAAGTCTTTGTAAGGGTTGTTGTAGTTTACTTTTTAACCCTGTCACCCCAAGGTGCTTACCAAGAAATAACACACAACCCATAACCTAGGCTCTGAGTCTAGAAAGAAAGCACAGAAATTTAGAGAAGATTTTTTTTTCTCCAATTGTACAGGCATAAAGTATGTGTGTATGAATGCATGTGTAGGGGCTGAAATTCAATGGATGTTTATGCTGGCATGAAGAGAAAAGTACATACCCAGTGAGCCCTTCCACTGTGTCATCAATAGGAAGGACATGAATCCTTTTGCCATACTTGACGTCAGGGCAAGGCTGGATGCTGAAACAGCAGCATCAAAAATTAAAAGGATTATTTTAAGAGATCAGTTACATTACAAACGTAATTTCTGTATGTAAAATCTCTCAGGCGAAAGTGGAAATCAAGAGGGCACCACTTTATTCTCAAGTAAAGGCGTGGTCAGAATCTAGATTCTTCTGTCATTCGTGTGACGTTAACTGCGTTATGCCTGAATTTCGGCTGACACATCCAACTTTACCGGGCATTTGTTAACGATGTTAACTTCCCGGGAATTTAAAATTCTTAATCTTCTAAACCACTGAGTTCATTCTAGTCTTCTTCCCCTTGGCCACCAATTGAATAGTCATGTGCTAGATAATAATGATATAATGTGTCAAGAACTGAAAACTAAAACAAATAATCTTTAACAAAACATACCTCACAACATCACCGAGACGGACCCGTAAGTTGTTACGGACGCATCTATTAATTCTGATCTTGTCGTCTGAGATGGTTTCATCAGAGAGAACAATGCAAACAGTTTCCCGGCGACGTTTTCCCTTCAGCAAAACGGTGTCCCCTCTAAATAACTGTAATTCATCCATCTTTTTCTGGTAACAGAAGTGAAACAAGTGCAAATCATATATACAGCATTAAATAAACATAAGCATCATGTGGTTAATCTAAGACTTCCATGGTGAAGTGTACAGTGTCAGCGCTAGAACAGGTGATGTATATATTTCTGTTTGTGCGTGCTTCATTATGTGTTAATTTAAATACTACTGAGTGCATATGCATGTGACGAGATCCAGTGAAATGTGCCAGGCAATAAATTAGGCAATATATTGTCCATGTATTTGTTTTTATAAAGTGCTGTAACAATATGTACTGTCATTTTTTGTTTGTTTTAAAGCAAATAGACATTTATACATTACTAATTCACCCCTTCAGAATCTACTGTTATTGTATTTATATTTTGCTAGTGTATTACTTTTATTTTTTGTTGATACCTCTTACTCGCTCTTACTATTCCACTGTGTATCAATAATTATGTGTGTTCCTGTCCATATAAACACTTGGATGTACTTTAATGAATGAATATGAGGGTTTCTTCGATATGTATGTTATGGCCATCAGTGTAGCCATTCCAATAAAAGAGTTCACAAGTCTCTTGAGAACTATCTTATCTGTCTAAGGGACCCTCTCTCACCTAAGGGCCTGAATGTCCAGTATAGCTTTATCTAAGTATTTTGAATTACAGCCCTTGCCACAACCTACCACTCCTATTGTCCTGTATCACAGGTGACTCAATGAGTTCCTACTATCAAGACATGTCATATATTTCTGCAACAGACCTCTACTCACAAGTCAGTGACTAACCACCACCCACTACGGGTGTTTACAATACAAACTGTTAACCGGGCTAGCTTACTAACACAGATATAAAAGCTTTATCTTCAAAACACTAAAGTATCTTAAAATGATTAACAACTTGCAGTTGTAATTATAATTACAATTTAAATTAATTTCAAAACACTACAAGTTTTTTTTTTTTTAAAGATTGAGCTAAAACTTGTTTCTTTAAAATACTAAAGTCATTTATTATGGTTAAGGAAGAAAACACTGGAGTAAAATTTGTTCGCAAAACATATTCAATAATAATAAAGTTAGCAAGATACATTTTGAGTTAAACTTACTATCTTCAAAATACTTTAAAAAATTATCTAACTTAATTTGGAATGAGATATATGTAGAAAACAGTATAGATGTTCTATAGGAATAAACTCACAGGGGAGCAAGTACAGCAGGGATCTACCAGTCATCAGTAGAAGTTATCCCTAGTCGACAAACGTTTTGGCCCACGACCTCCTAGACATTTTCAGAGAGTGGGCCCATCTGAGTTCATGAAGCTCAGGGCTGGTTCCCTGCTGCACGAAATTACCGGATGGTGTTTTTCTTTCGGATAGGGACAAGACGACTTGGTGATTTTGCAGAGGGTACTGTGAGATAAGAAATCGTTGCGGTAGCATAATTAGAGCAGTCTGCATACCTGGACGACCGAGCGACAAGCTTACGATTGGTTTACCGGACACATGTTAGACTTTGTTAGCAGGTGGCAGAGGAACACTGGCAGACAATTAGGACACGATGGACTTTCAAGGGAAGAGAAACCCTTTTCCACAAGACACCCGGACCAGCTCACCGAGGCCCGTCCCCTACATTGTTCCGTTGCGTCCAAAGCCAGCTCGAGGCCCTTTCGGCAACCTCGCCCAGCTGCTTAAGTGTCCGTTTCCGTTCATTACCGCGCAATCCTAGTTCTTTAACCACATTGTAGAGCGAAGTGGAAACGAGGCCTCTCGCTCCCACAGGACTGGCTCTAGCGTTAGCCCGCATCCTACGATATACTTAAGGAAAATATACCTGTGATCAAAAATGGATGTCAACATGGCTTTAAATAGCCTTTAAAATTATAAGGAAACTCCTCTAAATACTATTTTTAGTTAATATATTCATTTCTGGGCCCCCTTAACAGTGCACAGGCACATACAGAACCAATGGAATTTAATTATGCTTTTCGAGAACAGGTCACTGCAGAAATGCCAAAAACACAGCATTTACGGAACTGTGTCACAACTGAAAGTAACTAGATTTAGTCTTCTCAAGGCAAAAGAAAAAGAGTTACAAGGTCAAATGATAACGACATGCTTGTAGTGTAGTGCAACTAACCTGTGAAAGTGAAACAACTGAGTTGTCTTCATTGACTGCCTCTTCCACAAGAAGCCTGTTGGGACGCTCCTTGCGTCTGAGGATGGCAGTGGCCAGATCTTCCTCACTGAAATGTGAAATGCACAACATGCAATAATTAACCACAGCTGCGACAGATTACAAGTTGCAAGTCAGTTTTCTTATGCATTCCAATATTGTAGGTTGAGTATCAGAAGTGTTGGTTCAAAAGCTCTTACCCTATCTTTCTGTGATACAGCTTCAAAGAACAAGGGAAAGTGACCAATAGTTGCATTTCTATGGACTTCGAAGTTGGAGGCCCAGTACTATCTCCACAAGAAGGGACCCCAAAGCATTAACAAGCCTGTACATGCCATTTTGACAAGCACTATTTCTGAATTTGAATTCCGTGGCCTTTGTCCCAAGTCCACCTACAAGACAACTGGTCTGTATCTCACTTCATCTGGTCTTTATCCTTTGACCTGTCTGAAAATGAGAAACCTACCTGTAGCTACCTATGCTACCACACATCCTGGGGGTCACTGGAACATACAAACACATCCATCCTTTCAAGTAGATACAAACATAGGATGTCTGCATGTCCAGTTATCAATTACATTTAATAAATGTATGCTTGTTTTCACCAGAAATAAATACTAACATCCAAAAAGATCTGTACACCGAGAAAGATTGGTTAGCTAACAGAATCATATCTCGGAAACAAGTATTTTAGCACCATGGTGGATTGGAAAGATCAGCAGCAGAAGGCATTGCAGGGGCCAACCAGTGCAAAGACTGGCACAGGATATATATGTGCCATATATACACAAGGTATGAGGAGGAGGGCGCATAAGGCGGGAGATCTGTTAGCACCATGGTGGATTGGAAAGAACAGCAGCAGAAGGCACTGCAGGAGCCGATCAGCACAAAGAATGGCACATATGTGACACCTTGGAGGGCGCATAAGGCGGGAAATCTGACAAGAGACTGTTTCTTTCAGGCAGGTTGGGACGAGAGCGAAGGTCTGCGCAGGGTATGCTACATGATGATGATAATGCTTTTTTCTCCTCTTCCTGTCTGTTCATCAAGCTTCTTTTCAAGACCCTACTAATTACTAGACCAAAAATGTAAGCCTGATTTAGGTAATAAAATTGAGATTGGGCACTGGGAGGGAGTGGTGAAGGAGAATATGAAAGCATCTGAAGACATTTTGTATAACAGTCAAATTTCTGTAAACAGTTGTGTGGTGTGCACACAATGTCATGTTTTCTTTAAATGTTATTTTGGTACTTTATTTTAAATTCACCCCAAACACAAGAAATCCCAGAGCTCCTAAAAAGTGCAACATTCTAGGGGTGTTATGGGTTAGGGGTAGTCGGTGTCTCTGAGGCAGTCGATCTGACAAAGATCCCAACCTAACCTACAACACCCCTAGAATATTGGACTTGCCCGAGAACTGCATAATGTCCTTTGTTTGGGGTGAATTAAAAATAAGATACCTTCATTTCAACTGAGTGTCTGACAAATAAAATCACTCTTTCAGTACCAAACAACTCACAATGCAGCTGTTAGTTCCTAATGCTATTCTCAATAACTGGGGTTATTGGTTTCCCAAATAGTCACTTTAACTTCTTCATAACCACAGTGTTATTATTTTAACTTCTGCAAGCTTAAATTTTTTTTCTAAGCAGCAACAACTTCTAATCAGTTAAAGTTGTAACGCTTGCTACTGAAAAGTGAAAGGGTTAATAACTCTGGAAAGGAGGCCCATGCAAAAAAAAAAATATTGAAATATGCACCTTAAGTTATTTGTTAAAAACAAAAATTAGATAAGATTACAATTTTTCAGGTTGTGTATAAACTGTTTACAGATTTTATTGCTGCTCTAATTTCAGAATAAATAAATTATTATTATTCCATTTAAAGTTTTAAAAATGTTACGAAGTAAAACAAATCATTTTAATGCAAAATGTAATTAAAGGTTCATAAGATATATGTAGTAGTGAAGAGATTAAAAAGTTATCAAGAAATATCAACACCCAAGCTGAACACACACACCTACCTTGGCATTCCTGACAGTTTCCTTATTCTTTAACTTCAAAGTATGTTGAAACTTTTTTTTACTTTCTTCAAAACTGACTTACAAAATGTAATGGCCCCCGGTTAAATATAAGCAATCACTAACTTAGATATTAATAATAAAATTATTTAAAATCACTGCAATGAAGCAGCAAATTTGATGTAGTCTTCTCAGTTCTCTAGTTCAAACTAGCTGTATACGTATACTTAGATTTGTTTAAGATTATAAAACATTACATTAGAATTATTTAAATATATTCTGGATGTCTAAATTTTAGCAGCATATAACACATGGCTTATTATTACAATTGTATTTATTAATTTTAAAGTTATAAATCACTAAAGTTTAGTGATTTATAACTATATATAATATACAACATATAAAATGATGCTGCACAAATGTGAGGGGGGGGAAAATCGTGTAATTTTATTCTGAGATTAAGGGAAAGAAACTAAGTTTCAGTCCACAACACTCTTGAATATTTCTTAAACTAATAAACTTTTTTTAAACAGCAACAAACAATATCTTTTCACAGGTAAATAATTTTTAGTTAAGAAGCGGTGACTGGGCCAAGCACAGAAAGTGGTTCGTTAGTCAAGTCAACGGCGTCTACAACTACGGCTCTGCAAAAAGGGTACGTCCGGATCTCAATGAATTATTCCTAACAAATAATGGCAAAGAGGTGAAATGTATATAATATTACACAAAATATGAAATAAAACTGATGAATCTGTATGGAGACGTGTCATTTAACGCCACTAATATACGAAAGAATACAATAAAGAACGCCTATTTTTAGAATCAATGCAACTGTGACACGACAAATTTGATGCCTGTCGTTTCAACATGATCAACTATTTTCACTTTCCTGTATTTTTCCACTCAGCCAACATAAACAGCACACTTCATAAACTGTACAGACATTAAGTAGCAGTATACAACACGTACTTTTTAGCTTCTGGTGTTGCCATGTTTGAAATGACAAGGTTCTCGAATGATTGTGGTTGTTTTCTAGCGACAGGGCAGGCAGTGAGTGGTGGCTTGTCAGTTCTGTTACCGGAGCTCGGGTTCCGTTCAAAATGGATGCGCAGTCGTGGACTTCGGAGATCATCGTCTGCTGAGCTCAAACCTGGATTGGATTATATTTTTGGTGTTGCAATATATATTTTTTTTTTAACGTATCCAGAAACCATGAGTTGTAAACCCTTTGGCTCGGTACTATGGATATCGCAACCCTTCGGCATTGATTCCATTATATTTATAGACTATAACTGGGTTCGATCCCAGCTGCAGCCCATGCGCCTTGTGTTGGTTTCGACAGTGGTATCAGGGAGCTGACCATCCAGAAAGCATTGGCAAACTACTGGACGTAGGTTTGCCTGGAGAAACCACACAACGGACAGGGGCTGCTGGGGTTGGTTCTGCAACGTCCTGTAAAGGATACGCAACTAACCGTTGGTTAGCACGCACATAGACGAAGATGAAATACTCTAAACAGGTTAAAAATAATAATGAAGATTCTTGAAAGAAACTGAATCACGACGAGAACTGATGACCCACATCGCAAGGAGAAAATATACCTTCTTTGATCATGTCTTGAGAAGGAGAAAACTGGCGTACATCGTGACAGTGGGAAAGTTGGAGGGGAGGAAAGGCAGAGGGATACCAAGAGAGAAGATGCTGGCCTGTTTGACATCACGGATTGGAAGATCATCTGTGTCAGAACTGATTGAAAGTACACTACACGAGACAGAAGTTTGTGGTTAGACATGACTGCCAACTCCACACGGCAGGGATTATACAAAGAAGAAGGATCTTCCAGCCTTTCCAGACAATAGTGTTTGTTAGGCTATTATCATCATCATGGAGCAGGTCCTTTGCAGAAAGTCGCTCTCATCACAGTCTGCCTGTTCTCTCGCCAGTTCTCCGGCCTCATGTACTTTCATACTCGAAGAGTAACTTACATGCTGTTCCTATCTTCATGTCGGTCGGCCCCTGCCCCGCCTTCCTAGTACCATGCCTTCTGCTATAATTTTTTCCAATCCGTCGTGGCGCTTGATATGAAAAACATATTTCAGTTAGGCTATATTAAGTACTTTTGTTCGTGTTTGTGGTATTGTATATTCATTTGATATACCGGCGAAGGCTGTTTATCCGCAACGTTCACCTGTCCTTTGTGTTTGTGATAATGTTAAGCTGACTGGTTCTATTTTGCGTTTTATTAGTTATCATTCATGATATATTGTGCTGCACTGCACTAGGAACATTCCCACTTATGCTCCGTCTCACTTCTCAATAACCAACGAAGAGTCCCAATGCTAACTGTGCCTGTTGCAACCTGATAAACAGTCCGTCTATTTACCCCCTCCGTCCCTTTCAGCGTTGAATATCGCCCTGAACATCCCTACAACTGCGCCAACTCACAGAATTGGTCTTTCAAGATATGAAAGATCTGTTCTATTGCAGTGGCAGCCTGATTCTATAGAGCCTATAATAAATTAGCTCCCCACCTAGAGGAGCGAAAACAGCCAGTATATCAGATTGTTCATTACCCCACACACCCATATACCCTGGGCAGAAAATTCAAGATTTGCTCCTGATCTTAGCCTTGTCATGTGATGCAAGCAACTCTACGTTTAAGACACTTGTTTCTATGGTCCAAAGCATGCTCCGCTGAATTAATCGAGTAACAGAAAGTGTATTGATTAGCACTCATAGAAAGAAGTAGAAAGATAGAAGAACAATTATTATTTTTAATTATTCATAATATTTAACGGCCTCAAAGGTTCCCCCTCTGTTTATTTATGCTCCCCTGAGAGTCCTTTACTATGACATCTCGGATTGTATAACGAAGAACCCGTGTGCTGATAATGCAAGTTGCAACCTGATTAAAAGTCCATCTGTGTTTTCTCCCTCAGAGTTGAATGTCGTCCAGAACTTCTGTTCACCCCCCCCCCCCCCCCCCCGCTCGATCCACCAAAAAACTGCCTTAACTGTCAGCACTCCATTCTCATACTGAATGTTGTGACATTATATACGATTCTCTCTGTTTTCAAACAATGTCCATTCACTTCTGCCATAAAACCTCACCCACTCTTTTTACCTCCCACTACATAGTCATAAGGGGCCGCGTTAGCGCAGTCGATAGGAGACTCACTTTCAAATCCAGCTGCGACTCGCTGCAGCACACGGTCGACGTTCGAAACCCGAAGGTTTCCGGGGTTCACTCAGCCTCTAGGAAATGGGTACCAGAGTTGACACTCTGGGGTAAATGGAGGAACGTCGCTGTATCTACGGAGTTACGTGCGGACGGCGACACAGGCGGACAATTTCTTATCAGCTGTCGCTACTGGTGGCAGAGCACTCATGGTTTATAACCGTGTGCAGTGATGCTGGTTCACATCTCCAAACTTTACCTTTACTACAGTCATATATTTATAGAATGTCACTTGGGTGGGAATTGTCATTGACCAATCCCCCCCCCCCTTTTTTTTTCTCTATGTGGATTCCAGTACCCCATTGTGGAAGAAAAAGAACTGACTCCCCGTCCACTTACAAACATGGCGTAAAAGTCGACTAATTAAGGATGTTTCATTCGAAGTTGAAGTTCCCTGTCTGTGTGGGTTCCGGGGCCCTATTAAAACAAGAATAGATCCACTGACTACCCAAAGCATGTCGTAAGAGTCAAAAAATTGGGAGCTTCTTTCGAAGTCGGAGTGCATCTGCCTGAGAGGCAAGGAACCAGCAGTCTGTATACAAATGAGTCAGATCTGAGAAACAAATGCTCACGCAATACTCAGGTTCTGAAACAGGACTGCAGTCTAGAAGTGGATGAACAACCAGAACTTTCCCCCAGAGTTTACAGCTGGTGAACGCGAAGAAGAAGTTGAAGTGCTAATGCCTCAATGGCAAGGAACCAACAGTCTGCGTACAAATAAGCCAGACATGTAAAACGGGTGCACACATAGAACTCAAGTTCTGGAACAAGACTAAAATTTAGGAATGAACGAATAACCAGAACTTTCCGTCAGAGTTAACAGCCAGTGAATGCGAAGAATAAGAAGAGACAGACCATCGGTTTCACCAGCTTTTAATTTCCGACACTCTCGACCCAGGATTAGCATCAGTTGGCACTGCAGCTCATTTTTCCCCACGCGCTTCCTCTCTTCAGCCAGTGTGTGCCTTGCTATCAACTGAGGCCACGTGTAGAAGATGTTCCATGACTTCAAAGTACATTAGTGATTAGAAAGGATTATCATCACAGCACTTCGGACAGATCCATAGGTGCTCCGATCTCCTCCTCAAAAGCTCCACAAGTGTAAATCGACTGATGTCGCCTGTTTTGTGTTGGTTAAGGAAACGTCTTGTTCCCCTAATGAAATGTTCATTTCTTGCAGCTCCAGGCTGCATCCCCATGTCCATCAGTCTAGACAGGGATATGGAGTCATGTCCTTTGTCGTGCTCCTCGGTACGGTAAGTACAGCGCACGGCATTGATAACAAACATCACTTCTGTCCATTACTGGGCCAGCTATAGCTGGTACATTTTTCGCCTTTAACATCTTTTGAACCTTTCATTTGTGCGCACCAATTTGCGCAAGTCGGTATCCTAAGCCTACGATTGGCATATCCCGTGTACATCCAGAAATGACTCGCATGGGATCATTTTGCATAGCTTTCCTATATGGCTGCGAGATAACCCGAGCAGATCAAACCACACTCTCTCGGAGTGCATCTACCTGAGAGGCAAGGAACCAGCAGTCTGTGTACACATGAGTCAGATCTGTAAAACGGATACACAAGCAACACATACATCAGCAATAGACAGACACATAGGTCGCCCACATACAGAACATGGACCGCATAAATATCAGAAACACTGAAAAGTACTTTATACAAAGAGAACAGAAGGGCCCGTTCGAGAAATCTCTTCCTGCATTGACGCCACGAGGCATTCCAGGAGTAAAAAAAAAAAAAAAAAGGAAGAAAACATTACTGTCATTTATTGCCAGTTAAAGCCAGTGATGAAGCTCTCCATCTTCCCAGCACAAGGTCTGAGCCAAGTAGTGAAGACGGACTTGTCTGAGCAGTATTGTAGAGCCATGTGTTGCATGGTCCTTCTCTCGTCATGCTTTGTTAAAATTAAAAAAAAAAAAAATTAAAACCACACCAGTATGTTTCAAACAAAGCCTGCTGCAAAAGCTGCTGGGTCATACGAGTTGCCAGTGAGTGCTCTGTCCGCAAGTCGAAGCTCCCCTCACAGATCAGCTGCGAGCCACGGCTAAGAGCCCAGTCTGCCCAGCTATAACATACAATTTTTAGGCTGTATTTCTCATGATAAGGCTAGCACCCTCTCTTCTCGTCCACCAGAAGCCGTTGGTACAATATGGGTTATCAGGTTTAAGGATTCTGTTTTACAATATTATAATAATATTGCATTTTGTTTTGTTCCTTAAAGATCTTTATAATATCTTAGACCAACACATGGAAAAATACTGGTATTCTTCACAATCTGACATCAATGGGGACGGACTGGTGTTCTCGCCTCGAGCCCGAAGTTTGTATGCTCCCAACCCCCCACCCCCCCAACAAGAAGACATCTAATCAGGGTTTTGCTGAAATTAGATGTGTTGGACCGAAAGGTGCAGATATCGCAGTCTAGCTGTAAACCACAATACAGAACACCAACCTTCCTTTTGGATGTGAACACAAGAGAAGAAAAATCAATTGATTAACCGATCACACGACGAGGACATTACATCTTTGTTGTAGACATTATTTATGCGCACAAAAACCTGGCTACAAACCGTTGAAGATGGCCGGAATCCGAGGTCTGCTATTTTTGTTGTTCTCTTAGTGTTGCTTCATTACTTGTTAACATGCCGCCGCAAATTTTCGAGTTACGGATTTCATTAAAAAAAAAAAATATTGACTCTGTCGTGTTAGAAATTTCAAATAAAGTTTAAATAAAATGAAAGGTGACACAATAGACCATTCTCTCTGTAAACATTATGATGAGGCCAGTTGACGACGAAATATATTTGAAACTTCCAGTGCTTCTGAGCTTCTCTTCTGTTTTCTAGAAGAAACAAAAAAAGGGTGCCGGTACGCATCACAAGGTGTTTAATAAAAGACTATGGTGCGCACCACCACAAAGTGTCTATTAATATCGAAAACAGAATGCCTTAAATAAGGTGTGGGTACTGCGTACCTTTAGAAAAGCCCTGGAAACTTGTATATAAAAAAGAATAAGACATTAAAAACAGATATGGCTGTCCTCTGAATAACGATCCTGAATTATCGAGGCGGAAAATATACCCTAACAGGGCCTCAGTCATGTGTCAATTGCGCACTTCCGGAGACTATAACGCCACCGCCGAAATGCGAACTTCCGGCGACTTTGCCACCGCCCAGATAATCCCACATGCCGCTCACTCAGTGTGGATTGAGGCTAAACTAGATGGCTATGACTCACGAGCAAAATAAAATGAAGGAAGCTGCAGGAGATGCGGTGGCGTGGCATGGGGGATACTCTCAGCGGTGACGGTAGTCACCGGAAAACTGCAAATTAAGTTCTAATTTCTTAATTCCTGATTTTATCTCTTTTTGTCACACTCTCAGCTCTCCTAAGACATCTCACCTCTATTGTTATTATCTTTGACTCTCCTTTAAATAACAGTCGCTAGCTGGTAGGCGACGGTCGCTTAGTCGGAGTTCACTCCCTTGGCTGCAGTGCAAATACGGAGTGGTAAAGAGGGATCGAAACAAATGACATACTTACCTGTCATGCTACGGTTGCTTAGGGTTAGGCTAGGCTTAGGGTTTGGGTTAGGTTTTGGGTTAGGGTAACACATGTAGCGTCGAGTACTTACCCATAATAACCCTTGTTTTTGAGTTGTGACTTTTCCACTCCGTATTTGCACTGCAGCCAAGGGAGTAAACTCCGACTAAGCGACTGTCGCCTTCCAGCTAGCGACCGTTATTTAAAGGAGAGCCTGATCTTTTGCTCATTAGTTGTAGTAAGGGTCTATGTTTGGCACTGGTAGCACTATGTCAGCCTAAAAACTGTTCTTATGAGATTTGCTTTGATTGACTTCACAATGCAACATAATACAACTTCATTAATTTTCGTATAAAGTTGAAAAAAGAAGTAAAGGACCCTCTTTTACTTGGATTTGTCACATTTTTTACACACCTGCATGTTTATTAATTTCTGATAATGTTGCTGTTAAAAATTTTTTGGTATTATAAGTTAATATTTGAGTCGAAGCTCATGTTCAACATAATTAATGTTCTCATTTAATTGTATATTTTCTTCCCCATACAATCATCACTTCCTGGGTTTTACTGATATTCTGAATGCCCTTTGTGTGACTTGCAGCGTAAGTAAATGTTTAGTATTACATTGTTGTTTCCTTTAATTTTTAAACAATTCGTTCAAGGTGACTTTTTCAAAAACCTTGGGAATATTTTAATACTGAAGGAATTGTCAAGTTTTGAACATGGCTGTTTAGCGTCATTCCCCCCCCCCCCCCTCCAAAAAAAAAGAAACAGTTCTGACAGATGCCTCTGTCCCCCCCCCCCCCAAAAGACAATAGTGTGCATTCTGTATGGTATTTGCTGGCGCAGAAATTGAGCAATTTTAAGGTGACCTGTTTGAAGCAAAGTTGGAACTGCCAGATAACTAAGTTTTACGTGGCTAAAAGAAATCCATCACACAAGCCACCTGAGAGATGCAAGACAAATACAGAAAACAACCATACTGGGCTACAACCTGGTATCAGTGAGACAACAAAAGAAGAAGAAGAAGAACATAGCTAAATATGCAGTATTTTCTCCAGAAGCATGGTATTCCAAGCAGGGTTTTAACTTTGGAGAAAATATGCAGTGCAGTAATTTTTTGTTTGTTTTCTGGGATTTCTTGCATTAGAGCTATCCTGTTAGGGGATTTCCCATGTAAGAATTTACTTTGTACAAGTATGTTTATGTGATTCATTAGCTAGCTGTGTGCTATATTTTCACTGTGAACATCTTGTTTGATGCTGCGTGTGAGTGATTTATAATGAGTGCAAAAATAAATACTTCCGCCAGTTGCGAGGTTCGTGCTGTCATCCATTTTTTGTTGTAGCAAGATGTGCTTAAGAAATTACATAAGCAGCTCATTGAGGTTTATGGTCCATATGTTATGACTGATAGTATGGTTAGGAAATGAATGAATGGTTAGAAAATAGTGTTGAATGTTTAAAGAGGGCAAACAAATGTTCATGAAAAAGATCGTAGCAGTCGGCCAAGTGTGGTGACAGATGATTTGGTGGAAGAAGTTAACCCAAAAATTCAGGAAAATCACTGTTTCACAATTTTTGCATTGTCTGTAGAATTTTAGGAAGTTTCGTGTTCACTGATTTACGACATTATGACAAGAAACCTTCTAGACAACAAATTTGGTGCCATCCAAAACAAAATACGGGGGTTGCTGTCCTCTGGAATTTGTGCTTTTGCATGATAATGCTTGACCTCAGGTTGCAGATGGAACTGTTCAACTGTAAAAATTCACTAGAAAATTGTTGTCTACCCGCTCTACAGCCCTGATCAGGCCCAAGTGATTACCACCTTTTCGTGCACCTAAAAAAGTGGCTGGCATCCCAGCGGTTTGAAACTGATGATAAACTGCATACAGGCAATAATGAATCGATCAAGACACTGGTGGCAGACTTCTCTATGACACTGGAGTTTGAGGCCTGAAGCTGGCTTCTGTCAGCTGTTGTCATTGTCCATGACTCACACTCTTAGGTCAGAACTGGCACATAGGTAGAGCGGTTAACAGCCATTTTTGTCCTCTTGCCAATTTCTCTTTTGCTAAGAAGCCCTCAGAAGAGCCTCACAGCAGCTGCTTTTCATGTAGGCAGCTGAGTCTTAATGTTACAACTCCGTCTTTTAATTTTATACTGGAACTTAGGTAAAAAACAGGCCATGTAGACAGACAGACAGACAGATTTTGTGCTTTTGGTGCATTCCACATTTAGTGTTAGACTTTTATTTTTATTGATTTATCACCACTCTATGGTTGATATGACCAGCACCACTCCAATCGCCTTTACTTCTAAAGACATTATTTGATACCCATTTTAGGCTAAGTCGATGCTGGAGCCAAGGTAAATTTTGAAGGAAAAATATCTTCTCAAGATATATTTGAACCTAGGTCTTCGGGCTGGCCGGTGACTGTCTAGGCCAGGGCTGTTCAACTAAGTTTACTCAAGGACCAAAGTGCTGAAACTGGTGGGAGCTTTACAGGCCAGAGGTCAGTTTGACAGTTATCCACGGACCACTTGCTAGGCCTCTGCTGGATTAATTTGACCAGCAGGCTGATGTTGAATAGCACTGAACGAACCGCTACACTGCTGCCTCCAGTTGTGGATTTACTGACCTTTATCCGAAAAAGAAAGACATCCAGTCCATTATTGTAGCATCAGAAGGTGTGACTTCCTGTGGTTTCTAATTTATACTGGCAAGTGTAAAGTCTCCACACAAGAAAAAGAAGAATGTAAAGTATTCATTTGTGTTAAATTGTATTCTCCTGTAATTGATTTTTTTCTTTTGTTGAATAGGTTGGTTGGTTTGGCATTTACTTGTGCTCTTGGCATCACTTTTCTGGTGTTAGCCTGTGCCTTACCTCAATACAAGTAAGTAGTTGCATTTGGATAACAGTGTTTGATATTCAGAACAATGTCTCCCTGTGACTCTGCCATGTGCTTAACACTCTTGACATCCTTAACAATAATATTGTCAGGTTACAAGACAGTGGCATGGGTACTGTAATTTCTGTCACATCTTTAAGGTTTTCATTTAAAGCTCCCTTGTAAAACTGAAAATGCAGCAAATAAAAGATACACAAATACAGATTGAGTGAGCTTTACGATTATAATTACAAATGATAGAGTGGATATTGTGTGGATGATGTGGTCGACATCACTGTAGATACCTTTACTTCCTGGTACATTACCCGGTATCCATTTTAGACTAGGTAGACCTAGTAGATAACAGACGTTTATCATTAGAAGGAGAGACAGAAAGTGTCAGAAATAAGATTTCTTACATTTCCTGTATGAGTTCTGGGTTCCCCATTTATGGTGGAGGCGGGGAGAGGGAAAAAAAGGGGGGGGGGGTGGGTAAAAGAACCCACTGTCCCTTAACAAAGTAAAGGTCCCTTTACCCGCTAGTGGATAATATGATATGGTCAACATTATGCTGGCTGCCAGGACTTTACCTGGTATACTCATTTAAGGCTGGGTCGACCTTAAAGCCAAGGTGGTATTTGAGAAAAATCTGGCTCGATGTGAGTTTGAACCTGTGACCTTTGGGTCTCCAGTCGAGCTTCTAGCCACTACACCATTGCGACTCCTTAGTAGGGTAAAAGAAGAACCTGGAATGACAACATCAAGAAATGGACAGGATTAAGTTATCATAAACTTATTCATCAAGGGGAAGTCAGAGAAAGATGGAGAGTTTTATGTACTAGTGCTTCCATTAAAACACCACCACGACCCTAATGGATGAAGGGTTATGTTATGTAAAATGAGCATTATTGTGGCTGAAATATTTTAAATGTGTCTTTCCCAGCAACTGGTGGCCAATGTTTGTCCTGTTCTTCTACATATTGTCTCCCCTGCCAACGATAGCCGCCCGAAGACTGTCCGGTGGCTATGACTCATCCAGCAGTGCATGCTTTGAACTTTGCATTTTTCTGACCACAGGAATTATCATATCATCTATTGGTCTACCAATAGTTTTGGCTCATGTGAATGTGGTAAGTAGACATATTGTAGATTACTTTCTTGTGACTATAGACTATATGTCTGGGCAACCACTAGGATCAACAGTTATAAAAGACAGAAGATGGCACTATGTTGGACACATCCTGAGAAGAAGCCAGCAGAGAGTCACCGAATGCATGGGAATGGGAAATAAAGGGGTTGAGGAGGCGAGGATGCCCAAAAGAAACCCCAGAACGAACGTTGATGAAGAGGCCAAACACTAGACAGGATTGCTAGAAAGGATTCCATCAACGATATCTAACTGCTTGCACAGGATAGAAAGGAATGGAGGAACAAACTACATGTGCTTTGTGACATATAATGGCACAACAGGACTATGAATGAAGGAATGTATAGACTATATGATAACATTAGGCAATTGGTTCTTTGTATGGGTTCCAGGTGCCATTTTGAGGGAAAAAAAGAATAAACTTGCTGCTCCATAACAAGGTATCTAATAAAGGGTTTGTTCAGATTGGATGTGTTGAACAGACTAAGTCACAATTCTTTGCCTATGCACTGGACTCTTGTTGTGTGCTAAATGAATTACCACTAGTCAGCACACTACCAGGTGTCTAGCAGGTATCCTTCCGCTTCCTCTCTTAGAAACAGAACTCGACGAGGATGACACCGTCATACATTTTATTCAACAGGATACATGACACACATGCAGAGACGTAGTTATTGATCACAGTTGACATTCGCACATAATCCATTTGTCCTCTCTCGCTCGCTCTCTCAATTTATAGCGACCTCTCCTTGACCACTACAGCTCTAAGGACTACAGCGTCCCACTCTCTGGACGCACCGTACAGCTGAACAGAACGAATTCTCCCATTCACTGGACCTTGATATTATTTCAGCAGACAACATGGCTGACTGGAGACGGACTTCCCTTGCCGTACTCCGAAAACACACAGTTGTCGTCAGCTTGTCGAAGCGCTCCGATGACCGACAGGACTTCTATCATAAGTCCCCTCTAGCACACAACTCTCGTCTGCATCACCCCCCTGTTCTGTTTCACTAGTGGTCCTCCTACGTTTCACTACGTCGCCACCCAGAACAGGTACTACTGGAGCCTTCCGTCCCCTGGACTTACTTCGCCAGCGGGACCATACCTTCCACCAGTACCGCAACCTCAACACTTACTCAGACCTCAATGCCTGATAGTCATACGGTATTCTTGTCTGTTAGACTCGAGAGAGATATCACGGACCCTGACTTGGTCTCTGACTCTTTCGCTCTCTCTCTCTCTTCGACACTGACTGCCCCTGACTGACTACTCAGCCCTCCAATTTATCCCCCTCAAATCCGTGTAGGTGGATGATGTTTACACGAGAGGCACGCTCGTATGGGCGTTCTCGTGAATCATGATCCTGTGGGTGTTCTCTAGACTCACGCTCATGTAGGCGTTCTCGAGGATCACGCTTATGTGGGTGGCTGATGTTACCTGAGAATCACGCTGTCACTTAATTCACACTTTCTCTGTTTATCTCGTTAGCCATGCTTTCAGCCCCCACACAGTAACCCACGCGTCCACTTTCTCGTGGCACTACAGAATTACTCTCATACCACTGTCCCTTCACACAATATCATACTTTACCCAAATCAGCGCGCAACAACTCTGCAGACTCAACAAACACTTATATAAATTAGTTGTGAGATATACGGCTCTCTTGCTGTGTTTTCATGGTAAACAGATTCCAGAACATGTCATGCAAGACTATTTATCCTCTTCTGGCGGAGTTGTGAAGCAGCCTATGGGCACGCCCACTAGACCCGACAACTATGCTTTGGGGAGACCGAAGAGACCTGGAGATGGCATCCCAGTTTACGGTTTACTCTGGATTAAGGGCATAATCAGAGATCCCTGCAGAAGACAGAGGATGTGTTGTGCTGAAAGGTGCAGATATCATAGCCTAACATTGCATAAAATTACACTCTTGACACAGTTGACAGAGTGAAGTGAACGTTTGACGTATGCTTACCTCTTAGCCACAGAGGCCTCTCCCCCTCCCACTTCCCGAACGTGAACTGTTTTAGTGTAAAGGACAGTTTAATTAGTTATACAGAGATAAGAGGAATTTATGATAAGAAGAACTATTTCCTGAGTCCCAGATGAGTTCTCCTTATCAGGTCTGCACTGTGAATCAGTCCATGTTGCGTGCCTTGGTACTGAAAGAGTTCAGGGACGAGAAAAGGTATATTCATACAGTTTATATTTATGTTTATGTTTATTCAACGGATCAACATCATGGCACATGGGTGTAACCCATAAGTGCTCCATTCTTCTTCTAATTCAGGCTTGAGTATGAAGAATCTCAGCGCAGTTCACGAACTCCGTTGCACCGGGGAGGATCCTGAAATACTTTGGGTAGATTTTCAACTCCAAAATTTTGCCCGGGCAGTACTGTTAGGCTACTCTTATCAATGTCCAACTGCCAAGGGATTTTTCACTTGCGCAACAATACACAAGGGCCTCCGGTCTTACTACCCAGAGACCAGGGTAATTTACTAGAAGTCCCCCTGAAAAAATCCCAGCCTTCACTGGGGCTTGAACCCGGGACCGATAGCACTCAAGACAGACACAATGCCTCGAGAGCACGCAGCCCCCCCCCCCTTCCGAGAGCTGTTAAGCAACATGTAGCCTTAGGAACGGGGCACTGCCCAGAATCTAGACTGCACAAACTGTCTTGTGTTCCTGCCAAGGCATACTCCAGACATGTGAGCATCTACTGCAGAACCACCCCTTACAGCAAAACCTGCGAGAAAACACATGGCCAGATGGAAGGGGCATCCAGGACAAACTTTTGGGAACCCTTGGAACTTGCTGCTGATGTACTGGTTCATGGATGTCTATAAAAAATATGGGGCAAGTACCTTATCACTGCATCACGTACAGAGTGCCAATGGGTCTATTAAAGTGTGAGGCTAGCGTCATAATGTCTGATGTGTAAGTAATGTCTGATGTGCCAGTAATGTCTGATGTGCCAGTAATGTCTGATGTGCCAGTAATGTCTGATGTGCCAGTGATGTCTGATGTGCCAGTGATGTCTGATGTGCCAGTAATGTCTGATGTGCCAGTAATGTCTGATGTGCCAGTAATGTCTGATGTGCCAGTGATGTCTGATGTGCCAGTAATGTGAAGGCGGTCCTTTTTTGTGTGTATGGCTTACTATTTGCCCTGTACACATTATTGTGTTGTGTGTGTATATATGTGTGTATATCTCTCCTGATGGCTGGTGTTTTATAATGTTCTGTTCTTGTCTGTTTAGATTTATTGGGGTGCCTGCGCCCTGGTGCTATCAGGCAACATTGTGGTATTCCTCACAATCTTTGGCTATTTCAAAGTTTTCGGCAATGACGACGTGGATTACAGCACATGGTAATGGACCGGATGTACCCACCCTTGGACATATCATTTTTTTTAATGTAATGTTTTTTTATTCACCTGCCATTTTACTCTGCGCTAAATTAGTCATTCAAGAAGATTCGCAAAAGAGTTGAATCAGGTGTGGGTTGTTGCTTTATAAAACAGACGTGTAAATATAGTGCAGACCTGATAAGGAGAACTTACTGGGGACCCAAGAAATTAGCTTTCCTGTCAGAAATTCCTCTTATCCAGATAGGAGTTCAAGCAGGAAAAATTGTCAGGGATAAACAAATTGTTCTTCACAACAGAAATTTACCATGTCCGAGATCATCTTAAGTGGTCTGCACCGTATAAACTTGTTATTATTTTTTACCTTCAGTAATGTGGACACAAACATTACCGTATATTTCACTGTATTTTGTCAGGTGCATTACCACAGAGTTTATTCAACATATAATAAATCATAAAAATGAACCCTGGTAAAACTTAATTCCCCTGTTTATTAAAAAAAAAAAGCACTTAATAAATGTTACGTTACCATGGTAATCCTGTAGGGAGTCACCGTGGCGTAGCGGCTAGATGCTTGCCTGTGGATTGGAGGGTCATGGGTTTGCTCCCTTGCAGAGCCAGACTTTTTTCAACAATGACCTTGGCTCCCATGTCGACCCAGCCATGAGAGGGTACCAGGTACAGTCCTGGGAAGTAAAGGCGGCCCACATGATGCTGACCACATCACCCGTCTTGTGCCGTTGGTCTATACAATATATGTCTAGCCCTATATACCCGATATTGCCTGAAAGGCTTGGAAAAGAATCCTTTACTTTTTATGGTAATCATGTGGTTGATGTTAAATTTCCAGAGGAGAGATGTACAGTTTAACTTGACAGTGTGGATTTTTTGGGGTTTTTTTTTTGGTACTTCAGAGATTCATTTTTATGCTTCATTATATGTTGATTTAATTCTGTAGTTATGCACCTGCCGAGATACAGCAAACTTTGCCAGGCAATAAATTGGGCATTGTAATGTTTGGGTCCGCCTTATTTAAATTTAGAATATGAAAAAATTGCTTTGCATTTAGAACTTGGTTGGTAATATTTTTGAAGAAAATAGCACCATTGCTAACTTTGATCTGATTGAAGCCTTCAGGTTTTTAACTTTTATACTAAATATGTGATTAATTATTGTTGATCGTTTACTTTACATGACAAAAATATCAATGTGGTCCTATTATAGATGCTACCATTGGGATGTAAAATGTTAGATCTTCAACTATTCTGTGACATAAAATGTAAGGTTGGATTGGCGCTAGTTCCTTCCTCCTCGTTTGTCTTTCCTAGGCAGTTCTTCTTCTTTGTTCACCGGCAGAAAGCTCTGGTGGAAATTCCTGGCTTTGTGCTAGGGACTGAGTTTCGTGTGTATATTCGTTTTACTGGTTTATTTGTGTGCAGCTGGTTGTTCTTTGCCGCTCAGGCAGACGCACTCTGACTTCGAAGGAAGCCACCAATTAGTCGACTCCTACGACATGATTGTTTGTGAGGCAATGGGTCTGTTCTAGTTTCCCCTACAATGAGGCAATGGGTCTGTTCTAGTTTCCCCTACAATGAGGCAATGGGTCTGTTCTAGTTTCCCCTACAATGAGGCAATGGGTCTGTTCTAGTTTCCCCTACAATGAGGCAATGGGTCTGTTCTAGTTTCCCCTACAATGAGGCAATGGGTCTGTTCTAGTTTCCCCTACAATGAGGCAATGGGTCTGTTCTAGTTTCCCCTACAATGAGGCCCTGGGAAACCCACATGTGGAGGCAGTTATTAAAACATTGTGGAAATTGTCAGATACCTCCCATTGTGGGTTTCAGGGGGTCCTCCTTTTGAGAGAAGAGGTTAGACCCACGGTACCCATATAATTAGGGGTGTGCTGAAATTGAATGAATGTGTTAGGAGAAAAGATGCACACAGTACAAGTCTCTTAGCAGTCGAAACCATAAACAGTAAACTGTAAACGGCCACCGCCCTAGCTACATTTCAGGATAAGAAAATTTTGTAAATATCAGAATATTTATTGTAGTATAGTTCTTATAAAAGATCTTGGGATCATTACTGGATGTTATGGAGTTAATATCAGAATATTTATTGTAGTATAGTTCTTATGACAGATCTTGGGATCATCACTGGATGTTCGGAGTTCGTACTGATCAATCTAATAAAGTTTAAATCTCTTTTGAGGCAGATTTTTCTTTCTGTCCCAATCAGTGCACATTTTATTATAAGCTATTACCATTGAGTATCTCTGCAACACTGTGTGTGTTATATTTTTTTATGTTTGGTCTGTGTATGCTAAAGAAATGTGGCTAAATATTTTATTATGTAGCACAGTGTCTTTGAAAGTGACACACTGATACTCTGTTGCTGTGTTTATTGTGCCAGATTGAGTTTTTGCTGTGTATCATCTGGGGCTGAAAGATTTAAAATTGAGCTGTGCATTAAAAGCTATGGTGGAATCACTAATGTGGAGCTTGGAGAGCGGAATAAACAAATTCCAGTGAATCAAGAGATGAGGAAAAGGGGCTAGCTTTGGATAAGTAAACATGCTGAGAAAGCCTAAGAACAATATAGAATATCTTTTGATTTGGAACCCCAAGTTCAGTGGAATAAAGGCAAACCAACAAATATATGGTTGAGGGATCTAGAGAGTGATTAAAAAGATGGGGAGGACATGGCGGTGAGCTGCATGTGATAGCAAAAGATAGGCCGACTTGGCTCGAACTGGTTGAAGGCCTCTGCTCCATTGGGAGAATTAAGGGCACAAGAGGACCTCTACTTCTATGCCTAAAATTGGTGTTAGGATATTCTTCTTCTTCTTCTTCTTGTTCACCGGCTGTGAATTCCGGCGGTAAGTCACGGTTGTTCGTCCAAAATGGACTTTTGGCTTTTACCTTGACCTGAGTTTTGCGTGTACATCCGTTTTACTGGCTTATTTGTTTGCAGTACTCGTTCCCCGCCTCTCCGGCAGATGTACTCCGACTTCGGAGGAAGACGTCAAGCCTATTTCTAGGTTGACTGTGGCCATTGTTTTGTGTGAGTCGAGATGTTGCCTTATTTGTGTGGTGTCCTCTTTGACTTTTAACAAGTGTGGCCCCCGGCATGTCGTCCTTAAGGCAGCTCCATGTAGAGTTTTCAGCCCTCAAGGGAAGGCAGGGGCAGATCATGGGCATTCCTCGCCATCCAAGGAGGCTTCCATAAATGCAGAGCCGACACATGATGCTCTGGGTCTGGGCTCACCCAAGGAATCGTCACGTCCTGCCCATGACTGCTTAACCTCACAACCGTGTATCGAGCTTCCCGCGCTACAAGGCTGCGCTCTCCGGAGATCAGCGGGGAGCAGCCCGCAGGTCTAGGACGTTTGTGGCCACACAAATAGGTACATTCTTTTTCATCTTACGTTAGACACCTTTAACGTTGTTTCAGCTGTGCCTTAGCACGACAGAATGGGGAAGCAAAATGCGTCAGGCGTGGCTTCACCTGTTTGGTCCCAACACTCGGGCGAGTTGGACCAGCGGATACGGACATTCAGACTTTTCCTAATCGGTACGAGTTATGATCATCGGACTTTGAGCTTGCATGTGTGCCGTGGGGTGTAACTTTGTCGGACATTGTTTTCAAGCCAGCATATGAATAGTTGCTGCCATGGTCTACCTCAGCGCTGTGACGACGACACTGAGGATTGACAGAGGATGTACGTAGGTGGGATCTTGCTGCGAGAAGTCGCCCACAAGAGATGTTACTCGTCTTGGCTGCAGGTAAATCTCTCGGTAAGGGTTGAGTCTCAGCAGCACAGTTTTCCATTCGCTCCCGAATTTTAACCAAGAGTTGTCATTTGATGGTACATTTAGCAAGCAGTCCTTGAGTTTTGTTACTTTTCACCCATGCGTTTGGGGGCGGGCTGGTGAGAGCCAGAAAGGACTCTACACCTCTAGGGGCCGCCAGCTCCGAGATCCCCTGCCAACTCTGTTAATGCTCATTTGAGACATTATCCGTGGCGCACGACGGGGACGTGCAACAGGAGTCTTGCATGAGGTTCTGTAAAACCAGAACAGTGAAGGACTGGCGCCCGAGTGGGGTACGGAATATCTCCTTATACACATCACATCAGACTTAACTTCCCCTCATGCCTGTGACCGAAATCACCGCGCCACGTGTTAGGATATGTATATTAATTATTTCTTCCAAAATTCTGCTGAATAGGGAGGTCTGTAAACTGAGGGAATGAGTGTATAGTTATCAGGTTGCCATATTAATTTAAAAATACGTTGCATTTACTTGTCTTCCTATTATTATTACTTTTCAAACGCTCATTTTTGTATTTTGTTTCATTCTTTAAGTCAGCTTAATTATAACGAACACTTATTTTAATATTTTATTTCAATCAACGAATCTGCTTAAATGTTACTTTTTGAATGCTCATTTTTATATTCCGTTTCATTCAATAAGTTTGCTTGATTGGTTTATAGTTTTTTGAAATTATGGTTAATTAACTTAAAAAAAACAAAAACTAAAACAAATAAAAAAGATTTGTATGTGGTTAATTGTGATCTTTAGGAGAATTGTGCTCCTTCTGCTGGGATAAAAATGTGTTAAAATGCCGTATAAGTTGCCGAGAACATTTGTTGTTACATACATGGGTAAAGAAGCAGTCAGACTGAAAAATATTTACTTGTAGCTTTTTTTTAAAGAAAAAGGCATAATGAAATTATGGAAAAACAAACAAGGCAGTTTTCCCTGAAACTTGAAAACCAAAAATTTAATAGAGAAAATAAGGGGTACACATTTGGTGTTTATTAGACATGTTTTGAGAAGGAATGGATTCAAGAACTTGGGGATGACTGACAAGTTTGCTGGAAAGAGAGTAAGAGGAAGGCAAAGAGCTTAAAAAAACAACCTAAATGGTTTAGCTGTGAGGATTGGAGCGAGACCAGAACACTGACCTGATCTGTGATTCTGGTGATTATGTGCGATGGTGTA